CACATAACTCATTACCACTTAGTCTAGTTATAACAGAAATCAGTCTGACCTGGGCGACCATGAATTCTCTTACGAAGTTCATTACCGGACAGGCATTCCATTACTAAAGTCTGATGAACAACTTTTTGAAACTCTAGAGCACAACCAAGTAAGATGGATATTGTTATTACAGATTCTTTTTCTTTTAAATTACAATTTTAGTCTTCTTCCAAACTTCAGTGTTATTTATTTCTTGGGCATCTACTTGCATCAGGCTCCAGGCATGGTACCATGTGGGATCGAAAGGTACAAACACTTGTTCTCAAGGAACTTGCACTTGAGTGGGAGATGGACCGAAGGACTCCAGTGGGTCTAAGAAGAGACAGAGAGGCTCTGTGATAGGGAGGGGGAGGGACATGTAAGTAAAGGTGGAAAGTCAGACCCAGAGCTCAGCCAGAGGTCCGGGGTAGAACAGTTAGTTTGGGGGTCATTGTTGGTATCTTTTTTTAAAAATATATTTTATTGATTTTTTTTACAGAGAGGAATGGAGAGAGAGAGAGAGTTAGAAACATCATCAGCTGCCTCCTACACACCCCCTACTGGGGATGTGCCCGCAACCAAGGTACATGCCCTTGACCGGAATCGAACCTGGGACCCTTCAGTCCGCAGGCCAACGCTCTATCCACTGAGCCAAACCAGTTAGGGCCATTGTTGGTATCTTGATAATTGATTAGGCAAATGATGAGAGATACAGAACATAAGCAGCCAAGAGTAGAGCTTCAGAAAAGACTGCATTTGGTGAACAAGAGGAGACAAAGGAGGCAGAGAGAGTGGTCAGAGAAATAGTAGGAAAAGGAGACTGCAGTATCACAGAAACCACGGGATAAGTTTTTCCCCCAAAGAAGAGTCAGATGTCATGGAAACAATCTTAAGTGTCCACTGAAGGATGAATGTATGAAGAAAATTGTGTGTGTGCGTGCATGTGTGTCTAATGGAATATTATTCAGCCATAAAAAGGAAATCTTACCTTTGTGACAACATGGGTGGACCTCGAGGGTACTATGCTAAGTGAAATAAGTCAAACAGAGAAAACCAAGTACTAAATGATCTTTCATACATGGAATCTAACAAAGCTGAACTCATAGAAATGGAGTAGAATGGTGGTTGCCAGGGGCTGAGGGAGGGGGAATTGGGAAGATGCTGGTCAAGTACGAGATGAATAATTCTGAGCATCCTAGTGTACTGCATGGTGACTGTAATTAAAACGCTGTATTATATACTTGAAAATTGTTAAGAGACTAGATCTTAAATATCATCATCACACACACAAAAGGTAATTACATGGGGGATGGTGGTGTTTGCTAAATTTATTGTGGTAACCATTTCACAACATAGACGTGTATCAAATCATACACCTTAAACTTACATAATGTTATATGTCAATATCTCAATAAAGCTGGGGAGGGGGGAAGAAGAGTATGAGGTATTACAAGCTTACCAATAGAGGTGAAGAGAATGAGAAGAGGCCATTCTACTCAGTGACTTTCTGAGGCTTCACTGTCAGAGAATGGGCAGAAGCACCTGATGTGCAGAGAGCTGCAAAGTTCGGTAATAAACTGAAAGGGGCTGGGGGGAGGGGTGGAAGCCTGAGGGTTAGGGAGCTGGAGGGAAGTTTGTTTTATTTTTTCACCGCTAGGAAAAAAGACCCCACAACTGTGGAATGATTAATAGGCAAGCGCCAAAGGGAGAGTGAGAAAGGATAGAGAATAAAGTTTATTAAAGCTGAAGCCCAGCATGCAATGTTTTCTGCCCACATTGAGATATCTGGTCATCATGTAGAAGGTATATTAAATGCAGTTGCTTACAGTTATCATTTTTCTTTTGAAAAAAATGTTAATGTGAATATTGAAGGTCATTCACTCATTTAAAAAATACTTATTGAATGCCTATTCCATATATTGCATGCTAGGTCCTAGGAATCTAGCAATAAAATGAATAGGTATGTCAGAGGGAGAGGTCTGTTGGGGGGCTGGGTGAAACAGGTGAAGGGATTAAGACGTACAAATTGGTGCCCGGGCCATTGTGGCTCAGTTGGCTGAGTGTTACTCTGCACATCAAAAGGTGGTGGTTTCTATGCCTAGTCAGGCACATACCCAGGTTGCAGGTTCCATCCCCAGTCAGGGTACGTCCAGGAAGCAACTGATCGATGTTTTTCTCTCACATCGATGTTTCTCTCTCTCCCCTTTCACTCTCTAAAATCAATAAAGAATATAGTCTCAGGTGAAGATTCAACAAAGAAGGAGTACAAATTAGTAGTTACGGAAGAGTCACGGAGATATAAATTACAGCATTGGGAATACAGTCACTGTCGTGGTAACTGTGTGTGGGGCTAGGTGGGTACTTGAGACATCGGGGGACCACTCTGTAAAGTACACGGTTTTCTTATCACTACGCTATGCCTCTGAAACTAATACAGAATAATACTGAATGTCAACTGTAATGGAAAAGTAAATACAATAGAACAGGTGTGGCTTCTCTCTCATGGTACTTACGGTCTACCAATTTAGCTGTTATTTAAAATTCTTTGCCTTTAGGTTCAGTTGCAGACTCTGCTTCAAAGCAAGTATGTGGAGTACTTCATTGAGCAAGTCTTAAGCTGGCAAAATAAACTGAACACAGCAGACTCCGTCATCTTTATGTGGATGGCGGTCCAACGGACTTGGTCTCACCTGGAAAGCATCTTCGCGTGCTCAGAAGATATTCGAATCCAGCTTGTGGAAGATGCTAGAAGGTTCGATGGAGTAGACGCCGAGTTTAAGGTTCGTGGAAGACAGACTTCTTTCTATCCTAGCAGCATTTCCCAAACCATATGAAAATCTTGTAAAGAAACATGATTGGGGTATTGTAGTTGTAAAAATATATGTTTGCATTTCAGGGAAGGGGGGGTCAGGGAAATTTTTTTTTTCTGGGAAGCGTCAGACAGTACATACTATAGGCTTTGCTGTTTGCTGTGGTCTCTGCCACACACACTCAGTGTTGCCATTGGAGCTTTGAACAAAAGCATAGGCACCGACATGTGAATATAATTATGTGCTAAAAATATGCTGCTTTTGATTTTTTTCAAACCAGTTAAAAATGTAAAAAGCATTCTTAACTTTGGCCATACAAAAACAGGCAGCAGGCCAGATGTTGTCTGTAGGCCATGGATTGCCTACCCCTGCAGGAAGGCATGTGAATAGATTCATCTCCATTAAGTAAAGGACTGCAGAGGAGAAGCCAGTAACAAAGTAATTTTACCAGCTATTTGTTTGTTTCATAAGAGCCACAGAGACACACAGAGGTGCACACATGGTAATGATGAATAATTTGAGAAACTTTCAGCAAAGAATAATGGCCATTAAATACATTATTTTTCCTAAGGTAGAACACCCAGAGAATTTCTATTTTGTTTAACTTTTAAAGAGGAAAGAATAGATTGTTTCATATTCATCTCATTTTCATACCTGAATGTATTTGTAAAATTATGGGTTCTCTTTCTTTTCTTTATTCTTTTTGTTTGGTATAGAAAAGAGAACTTCTGTGTGGACCTAGAATGGTGGTAATGTCCATTGAATTTATTTAGACAAAAACTGTGATTATACTTTGGTTTTGATATTTACCTAAAAGTTTAAAAGCAAAAGTGAGTAGTCATGGTGTTAGAAGTTTCTGTAACCTTGCTTTCTCATTGTTTGTTTAATTTTAATTTTTGAATGCTCTTCATTCCCAAAATGGATGAAAAATTTAGAAAAGTAATTTCTAATACCAATGGCTCCATATTGTGCTTTCACACAGGAGTTAATGTTCAAGACAGCTAAAATAAAAAATGTTTTAGAAGCAACATGCAGACCTAATCTCTTTGAAAAACTCAAAGATTTACAGTACAGGTAAGAATAAAATTATGTGATCAATTTGTTATACTTTTATGAGATTTCTTTCAAGTACCTAGCAATATTTAACATTGTGTTATTTTAGGTATAATCTCTACTAAATTATTTTATAATTTTGCTTATAGTTGCCTAGTTGCCTTGTTTATATTAGGTGGTACATATGTTTTTTGAGTTAATGTAAATAAACCCAAGTATACTATTTCTGTTTTCCAAAAGGACTATCATACTAGTAAAATTAGAATATCTTATTATTAAGAGAATCGACATGATTGATTGGTCAATTCTTTTATTGAGCTCTTCTGCAAATATTTATTAAGCATCTACTAAATGCCAGGAACTGGGATTGTACTCAGTTATTTCAAGTCCTTTATTTTGCATATAGTTTAATTATACTAGAAATTATCCTTAGAGAACATGTTAGTAATTTTGAAGTCCTGTCCTAAGGGCCATTTGTAATTTTCACATGTAATTCTACAATAACTAGTAGTCATAAGAATATTCTGGCAGGTCAGCTACTAAAAATATTTGTGCAGAATTGTGATCACTTTATTTTTTTTGCAAAGTAGAGGAGCACTCTACGTAAAAAATATATATCACATCTGCAAAAATCTGGAATTTTTTCAGAGATCAAGCTGGCCATCATTTTAAAAGGGTGGGTTTCTGAGAAGTTCATTATTTGTATTTAGTCAGTAACCTTTGGGGCATTTTTTGGGTTCTGAGTCATCTCTGCTCTGCTAAGAACAATAAAGTGGAAATAACTGTGGATCGAATGACTTCTCTGAACATCAGAGAGAGGTGAAGCCACGTGTGTTTGGTAGACATTCAGTGGGAAGGGAGGACTTTAAACCAATTACATCTGAACTAGTGCGCCTTGTGTGCGGGCCACGTGGTGCCAAATCTAGTCTCCTCCCTGCCAGTGACGAGTGTCATTCAGGAAAGTGATGAGTGACATCAACCTAAGTGTGATCTAAGTTAAACCTCAACAGATGATGGGCATGCGCACGCTCGTGTGTGTGTGTGTGTGTGTGTGTGTGTGTGTGTGTGTCCTCCTCCTCCTTGGCATGGCTTGTACATTAGTTAAAAGCAGGATGCTGGAGTCAAAGAGAAGGCGGTAGGCTGCCTGCAAACAGTGACTTTATTATGAGGGACAGATGCGAGAAGGTGGGTTTTGTTCTGTTGATGTTTTAACCCTACCAGACTGCTGTACCGATTTTTCGGTAATTTCCACACAAAGGTGGAATATTGGCGCTAGATGAAAGGTACATGAAAGGTAGACCTATTTTCTACAATGTCTCCAAGTTCCATCTTATTCTAACCACTTGTTTGCATGTAACTAACATTTTTCTATATCATGTTGGTTTTTTCTCTTTAATGCTCAGGAGCCCAGGTATAGGGGACAGTTAGGTTCAGGGCCTCAGGTCTGGTAGGATTAATAACTGAACGGGCAAAATAAACTTACAAATGCATTTTATTCCTATAGGCTTTCTCTTTGTGAAAAAGCTCTCGCTGAGTACCTGGAAACCAAGCGCATGGCTTTTCCACGCTTCTATTTCATCTCTTCCGCAGACTTACTCGACATTCTTTCAAAGGGAGCTCAGCCTAAACAGGTAGCATCTTTTTTTTTTTTAAAGTCTCATGCTGTATTGTATTATGTTCATTAAGGAATGTCACAGTTTCTCTGTCATTGTCAGATACCACCTCCCATGTCACATGTGCTAGGAGCTAGAAAATCTGCAGTAAAAATTCTCAGTGCAGCAGCAGAGAGGGGCCAGAGTTGGCGCTAAAGGAACTAGGGGAGGTGCCTAGTCCTCAGTAAAGGGAAAGGATATCAGAGGTACAAGGCTGAGGGCTTTGTAAGAAGTTAATGACTTATATACAAGGGAATACTCCTCAGACATAAGAAGAGATGAAGTACTGCCATTGTGACAACATGGACGGACCTTGAGAATATTATGCTAAGGGAAATAAGTCAGTCAGAAAAAGCCAGTCCTATCTGTGATATAAAACTGAAACTCAGACACAGACAACAGTATGGTGGTTATCAGAGGGAATAGTGAATGCTTTGGGGCCACTCTGCCAAGTAGCCTGGCCTCGCTACCCTCTTTTAACTTCCTTTTCAATGTCAGAATCAGTTTCGGACCACCAGACACAACGTTTCCGCCTCTGCCTTTTGTGCCAACATTCCTGAATGTGCTCCCGGTAGTGTGACCGAGATAACATGGCAACTGTCGCTTGTGGACTAACAATGCGGTGTCCCCACAAACGATGCCCTTTGTGGACAGATAACTCATGCTGACATCTTATGAATGACTTGAATTCTTGAGACTCCCCCTCCTCCACCCGCCACACTCAATTTAAGAGTGTTGGCCAAAGTGAGGGTTTCTGCAGTTAATTGTGGAATTTAATCAGCCTGAACTTATCAGCTAGGGAGGTCTGATGCCACTACAACTTCTAGTCTTGTAAATAGAAATCCCAAAGTGAAGATACTTAGTTGGAATGCCAGCGTGATGAAAGAGTGTCTAGAATGCCTTTGGTGATTACTCGCTGCTGGTAAGCTAGGTTAAGGTCAAGTTTTAAAGATTTTCTCCTCCCAGAAATTCACCCTAACCTCCCAAAGGCATGGATTATCTAAAGGACAGTGGGTATGGGCACTGCTTAACCTCAGTGGTCAGAAATCTCTGGTTGATGCTATGGAAATACAGACTTAAATAGTTAGGTACAGCTGGTTTGAAGTTGCACATGATTCAGTAGTTTTAAAAATATTTTTATTGATTTTTTAGAGAGAGGAAGGGAGAGGGAAAGAGAGGAAATCATCAATGTGAGAGAAGAACATCAATCTGCTGCCTCCTGAATGCCCCCTACCCAGGATCGAGCCGCAACCCGGGCATGTGCCCTAATTGGGAATGGAACCGGCAACCTTTTGGTGCAGGACACCCAATCAACTGAGTCACACTGGCCAGGGCACATATGATTCAATATTAACATTCTTTGATTTCCCCCTTTTATAAAAACATCATTTGTATTTTCAAGTGAATAGTGTAGTGGTTAAAGCGAAACAGAGTAATATTAGTTGACTCCTTTGTACCCTCCAGGTTGTCATCAAGTGCCTTAAAATAGCTGACAATGTGTGTAGTCAAGATGTTTTTAGCCACTTATTCCTAATGACTTGAAAGATCTTTTTGTCCTGGGAGATTCTGCACATTTCTCTTCCCTGGTCTGTATTATGATTAGCGAAAACTGCTCCATGATGGAGAAATGTTAAAGAAAGACAAACTTGGGCCGAAACCGGTTTGGCTCAGTGGATAGAGCGTCGGCCTGCGGACTGAGGGGTCCCGGGTTCGATTCCGGTCAAGGGCATGTACCTGGGTTGCGGGCACATCCCCAGTGGGAGATGTGCAGGAGGCAGCTGATCGATGTTTCTCTCCCATCGATGTTTCTAACTATCTATCTCTCTCCCTTCCTCTCTGTAAAAAATCAATAAAATATATTTAAAAAAAAAAAAAAAAAGAAAGACAAACTTGTAAGGGGATGAGCTGCATTTTTCTTGTCTAATAGAGTCGCCATGAACTACATGTGTTTGGTTATTAAATAATTAAAACGTGGCGACTGAGAAACTGAATTTTTAACTTTAATAAATTTTATTTTATTTTATTTTATTTTTTTTTAAATATATTTTATTGATTTTTTACAGAGAGGAAGGGAGAGAGATAGAGAGTTAGAAACATCGATGAGAGAGAAACATCGACCAGCTGCCTCCTGCACATCTTCCACTGGGGATGTGCTCGCAACCCAGTTACATGCCCTTGACCGGAATCGAACCCGGGACCTTTCAATCCACAGGCCGACGCTCTATCCACTGAGCCAAACCGGTTTTGGCAACTTTAATAAATTTTAATTTAAAATTTGAAACATTTTTATTTTGATTTTTTTATTAAATTTATTGGTGTGACATTGGTTAATGTGATCATACAGGTTTCAGGTGTGGGTTTCTGTGTTACAAGATCTGTATATTGCACAGTGTGCCCACCACCCAAGGTCAAATCTTCTCCCATCACCATATATTAGGATCCTCTTCTTCCTCCACCCCCTTTCCTCTGGCAACCACCACACTGCTGTTTGTGTCCACGAATTTCCATTTTATATCCTGTATATGAATGAGGTCATATGGTTCTTAGCTTTTTCTGACTGACTTAGTTCACTTAGTATGATATTCTCAAGGTCCATCCATGTTATTGCAAATGACAGTATTTCATCCTCTCTTATGGCTGTGTAGTATTCCTCGTGTATGTGTACCACATCTTCTTGATCCAGTCCTCTATCACAGGGCACTTTGGTTGTAAAATTTGTAACATATTTGATTCAGCTATTGGAAAATGTCTTTGAAACTACTTGGGTGTATGAATCTACTTTGCAGTTGTCTATTTTATAAAATCTAAATACAGATCAAGTATTTCTGATGAAAAATCCCAATGGAGATGTGCTATAAATAGTAAATACACAACCGATTTCAAAAACTTACTCTGGAGAAAAGAATGTAAAATATCTCATGAATAATTTTTATATTTCATGAGGAAGTGAAAACATTTTGGGTGTACTAGTTCAAATAAAAGACTTAAAATTATTTGCACCTGTTCCTTTCTACTGGGTTTAATGTGGCTATTGGAAAGCCACTGCTGTGGAAATTGAGGCCACAGCGCATCGCTACTACAATGAGATGGAGGATAGATAGGCCCAGAAATGTTTCGTGTTTGCATCAAGAAATGTCCTTCAGTGGCACCGGCCCAAGTCTACACCAGAGGAAACCTGCCAACTTGTCTTTTGAGAAATCCCCTAAATTGCAGTGATGAGACAGATGGCGCTACACTGATGCTTTTAATAGACTGTAAATACTGGCACTTGGGAAGGTGCCTGTGAGAAATGGGCTTAATATTAGGTGATAAAGAACGCTGCTGGATCTTAAGAGGCAAACATGGAAGGCCACGCATCTCCCACAGGCACCGTATATTTCTGTCTGGTGCTTCCATGTGGTTATCTCCATGGTGGAGTGAAAGAACCCCAGCCTCCGAATGTCAGGAATCGGGGTGACGGAGCTCAACACTCACAGTGTCACAACCTGCTCCAACAGAGCGTAGTGCTCAGACAGCTGTGAGGACAAAGCCTCAAGATGCAAGTGGTTAATTGACGGCATGCGAAGACGCGTGAGTTTTAGTTGAAGTAAAATCAGTGAAACATCCCAGCTTTTGTAGAGGAAGTAGAGAGCTGGAGAGCTGTTAGCTACTGAAGGCAGAGGGAGGGGTTGCTTAGGTTGGGCTGAGGAGGGAATAGGCAGCAACCGGAAGCAGTCACAGAAGATGGTCATGGTTTGGACCATCTCACCGTCGTCTCTACTTACCTTCAACTGAGCAGCAAGGAATAGAGGCTGCTCACCTAAGTGTAGTTGGTCACAGAAATTGCCAACTGAGAGCAGCTCTTCTGGACATAATTTAGGACTATGTCCTATTTTAAATGGATGCCTTTGTGTGAAGGCTGCCTGTTACCCAAAGGACTTGGGCCTTTAGGTGTGTGACAAGAAAATAGACACTCTAAATTTTAAATAAATATGCCGTAAGTTATCCACTGGGGGTTATCTTTGATTATCCTTGCAAAATTGTTAGTATATAGTTGGCTACAGGTTGTATAACAATATATGTAATTTTTTTTCCATGTTGCAAATATATTGTCACTGTATAGAATTCTGTTGCAGCTCTTTTATTGGAATTCTCTCCAATAGCCAAGTTACACTCCAAAATCAGGATTTAAATAAACTATCACTTTAATGCTCTGAGATCCAAATATGAAATCTCATGAATGTGGCATCCTGCCAGTCCGGAGTTTTGGGCCTTGCTGTGGAATCTGAAACTCCTGGTCCCAGCTTTGCTTGGTGTCACTAGTGAGTGTAGATGCCACTTCATTTGCTGTAACCTGTACCCCGAGGGAACAGCATTTCAGCTTTTGCTGCTAACCTTTTAGAAACCTACTTAATACATCAATGACATCACTAGCTTTTTTTTTTTTTTTGATTTGAAGTGTTCAAATCCTTGCCATTTCTTTAGTGAGATCAGAAAAGGGGCCTATGAGGTGTTTGTTTTTATGAAATCGTTTTTAATTCTGTGTTAATAAATACAAAGAGCTCTCATTAGAAATGGAACAGATCTGAGGACAACAGGGCCCACATTAGCTTAAAAGCCAGTCCTGTTCTCTCAGCAGCTCTACGTGGAAGGCAAAAGCTGACAATGTCCGGCTTCCTACGCTAGGACTCCAGACCTAGAAGTTCTTTCAAAACTATTTTCTCACCAAAGCAATAATGTGTGAGGGTGTCTGATGGTTGAGGTCTCATTTATCCTGCAGCTTTTCACCTCAACGTGATTTAGGCCCATTGCACAGTAGAAGCCATTAAGCATCTGTGCTCTTCCTGGCCACTTCAGCTGTGACAGGGAATTGTCAGGTTATGGGAGATACTTCTGTATATACATGTCCTTGGGGTAACGTACAGGGATGGAGGAGAATATGATCACCTGAGCAGTGATCATCGGTGAGCGCTCTGTCTAGATTTAAAGTTATCGAGAGTCTTAAAAACTCATCTGTTTTACACTCAGAAGATTTCTTGCTCTGATTTTCTTTACTACTGAAACTGCAACTACAGCAAAGATGTTAAGGCGAAGGGCTGCAAAGATTAAATCACCCTTAAGAAGTTCCTTATAGTATTATTGGTATTGGTCTTATCATTGGTCTTGTCATGCAGGGACTTTAGGCAAGTTGCTCTTGTCCCTAGATGCTGCTATTGGGATAGTTATCAAGTGTAGTTCCACTGTATTTTAAGAAAACTCATTACAGAGATGGCCCCCATATGCTGACCAGCTTCTGGTTATCAGTACCTTTTATTTAAATTTTTTCTATTGAGATAAAATGCACATAATATAAAATTAACCATTTTGAAGTGTGTGACTCAGTGGCATTTTGTACATTCACAATGTTGTACAACCATCACCTCTACCTAGTTTTAAACTGTTTTCATCATCATAAAACCCCATACCCATTAAGCAGTCACTGAATTCCTTTCCCCTTCCAGCCCCTAACAACCATCCATCTCCTTTGTTCCTATGGATTTACCTGCTCTAGACATTCCATATAAATGGAATCATACAGTATTTGGTCTTTTATGACTGGCTTCTTTCATTTAGCATGATGTTGTCAAGGTCATGGGCCATGACATAGCTTGTATCAGCACTTCATTCCTTTTTATGGCCAAAAATTATTCCATTGTATGGATATGGCAGTTTATTTGGCCATCTACCCATAAGTGGACATTTGGGTTCCACCTTTTGGCTTTTGTAATACTGCACTTGTGTTCAAGTATTTGAGGGCCTGTTTTCAGTTATTTTGGGTAGCTACCTAGGAGTGGAATTGCTGGGTCACATGGTAATTCTGTGTGTAAGTTTTCAAGGAACCAGCCAACTGTTTTCTACTCAGCATCTTTTATTGCTACCATGTGTAGAGAGGGTCACTTCTTCCCACTCCTGATACTTCCTCTGGTCCACTCTCTGCCTTTCTCCAATAGTCTGGAACCTGCGTAGAGTTCAATAAGCTATTTATTGGGGGTTCCTTTGAGGATCCCACAACTTAGGATGTGAAAGGTTGTGGTGACAGAAGAGTTTGAACTTGTAAAAGTCACCTGGACTTGGAGGTTTAAAAATCTAACTTCCATTTACTTTTAGCAATGTCAATTTGGCAAAGTCACGTACTATTTTAGCTCCAATATCAATATCAGTAAAAATGGGGAAATCCTATTCACCTTTCTTATATAACAAGTGTGCTGTGGGGCTCCCCTTAGTATCGAAGGATGTACCCAACGTGGGGCCCAACACAAGAGGAAGATGTATCTGACTTACATTTTTGTTTCAGACATTTTAACACAGTGTTTTATAGTATAAGCTTTTTTATAGTATCAGTGTAATATGTCTGAATTTTAAAAGCTTGACCACATATTCTTAGCAGGATGATAGCTATAGGAATACTACCAAGATGGAGAAGTTGGCCAGTTCCAATCTATAAAATAGGAAACTGTGTGGTAAGCACTCACCTCCCAACCCTGCTGATGTGACCAGAGAGCCTGGCCACTTCTCTACCCAGGCCACTTCAAACTCTGGAGTTTAAAAGTGATTCTTATTTTGAAGAAAACCATTTGGAGACAACACTGCAACTTTATAGTTTTGTGACACCCTATGGCATCATCACTAGAGGGCCAGAACATATCTCCAGTAAGAAGGGCTCTTATCTTTCCTAATCACCTTGTCTTAGGTGACACGTCACCTGGCCAAACTCTTCGACAGCATCGCAGACCTGCAGTTTGCAGACGACTCGGATGTTTGTGCCCACAGAGCCATTGGCATGTTCAGCAAAGAAAAGGAATATGTCCCATTCCAAGCCTTGTGTGAATGCAGAGGCCACGTAAGATTTGCTTATGACCTTTTCTATGCTGGAGGAGGGTTTCTGGGGTAATTTTTAAGGGTTGAGTTGAACAAGAAAAAAATGAGCCCATGTCAGATCCGGGCCCGGTTGGTTTTGTGCTCAGAGCTTCCTGTTCACCTGTGTCCAGAGTGGCAGAGGGCTCCTCTGCCATGCTCCCCAGGTTCTGCTCATTCAGCTGCAGCACCCGCAGGGTCTGAGAGATGCTAGCCATTGAACTAGACAGGAGGGACTGTCACAGGTGGAATGTGTGGATCCCCGAATTGGAAGCAATGCCGCCCAGTGACAGTGCCTCCCACACAACGTATGGTTGTCACCACGGCTCAGAGAGTATAGGGGTGAGGGTGGAGCAGTGCCTCGCGGTAAAGCATGTTTTAAAGAGGCTTGTGGTTCAGGATTCTGATGTGAATATTGTCAGTGGCTGCTCATAAATTAAGTGGATTGAGTCTACCAAGCTGATGACCACGTGCACAGACAATTTAAGGTGGCATATTCTCTTCTGTCACAGCTACATACCTCAAAGATATTCTCAATGATGATCTGCAAGGCTCATTATGAGTAATGGGAGAGCTCATGGTGTTTTTAGATGATTTAGAGGAATTGCATTTTTATGGTGATGCTTGAATAGCTTGGGTTAATCCACGGAGTAGCTGAGCAGTAACCTCTATTACAGAACCATTTGGGTTGAGTCGGGGTTCCTTCAAGTGTCCCTTGCAGAAATGTGATGGCCATCTTTTTTTTTTTTTTAAACACACCACAGGTTTTCTTTATTCCTCTCTATTGCTTTTTAATATTGTACCAGAAAAATCCTGCCAAATGAAGAGGAAGCAGATGGTGGAATACTTTGATTAAATATATTTTTTGATCTCTTGGGCTCTTTAGGATATTATTACAATGATTAGAAAAAGTCACCATAAACTATCTTGACAAAAGTGTGTTGCTGTCTGCTCCATCCCCAGCAGACTGCTAGCCGACTGGCATCTGGCCCAGAAGGAGGGCGGTCCTTTGACAGATGAGGCTGTCACTAGCGGGAACCCTTGATGTTGGGAGTTTTCACAGCGTTCCAATTTATTCTGTATAAGCAACGTGAGCTAGATACTTTCCAACACACACCACATTCACCCTCTAACTGCCTTTATTTTTAAAAAAAGATGCTGTTACTTTAGGTCTTTTTTCCCCACTGCACTTTTATGATTGGTTCTTCCCAATTTATACTATTTATAATTTATTTGACTAGTGTTGATTGAATGCCTGCTATGTGGCAGAAGCTGGGTTAGCCTTTTGGAGATCCAGAAATGAATAAGACAAGGCCCCCGTTTCTTGAGGAGCTGTTAGTCTCATGGAAGAAATGAATATACACATCATCAGTGGAACAGTGGGAAGTGGTGATTGTTGTTAGAGAGGGTTGGGCAGAACCTGATGAAATACCGAAAAGGGGAGGGGTCAAGCAAGGACCTCATCAGAGCTCACTTCTCCAGTCAGACTACGTTGCCACTGTTGGTGTAATCATCTGAACATGAGCTGATAGCTCAACTTATATATGCGTTTGGTCTTCCCAAATGGACTAGAAAGTGCTTGAGAGCAGGTGGCCATATTGAGGACATGGATGCCTGAGTATCTGGGAGATGCTCAGGTGGTGACTGATTCACTGAAGGAACTGGTTGCTTGGTGACCTGAAGAGTTGAGCTTAGGGACTAAAGCAGCAATTAGATCAGATACCCTGGGCTCAGGCACGTGAACAAAGCCCAGCCCTGAAGTCAGAGGAGAAGGCTCTTGGGAGGTTGGGGCCATTTCCAGGGCGGGCTTTTTTTCTCTTTCAGTAGGGAAGGCTGTCAGCACATAAACCACACGCCACTCCTTCCCAGTTCTCCGGAGAAAGAGGTTCTGGAATGAATGCTGCTGCTATCTTCACAGAGGCAGGGGGAAGTCAGTTCCAGCATCTTTGGCACCCCATGTGGTTCTTGGGGTTTATAGTCCTTTTTTACGGATGTGGTCAGTTACTTGCAAGTAGTCTATGTATCCTTCTTGTTATGTAATATCACCCCATGGAAACATATATGGAGAACTATAACAGCATATTTGAATAGGATGGAAACTGGCTGAAATATATTTGTGGGAGCAAAATAAACATGAATTTTAAAAAAAAGATTAATTTTCACAAGTCAGCAGTTGTCCTATCTCTCATACTCTCCTGCTGTCTAATTTTTGACAAGTGTGAAGAGAACCAGTAGGGAATATAATTAAGATACTTGCTGAAAACACCTTGTCTCAATACTAAGAACTATGATAATCTTAGAGAAGAATTTTCAGTGCTTTTAAAAATTATCCAAAGATATGTTTTAAAAAAATCCATTTCTTATATCCCCAAAGCTCTAGATTATTATTCTAGCACATTACTCTATAGAGGGCTGTGATGTTTGGTTTCCCAAAACACTGTGTGTCACCAGAGGGACCTTAGTCTCCTTGTCTTTGAATCTGAAAAAAAATGAATAATCACAAACACCTCCTGTAGGGTTTGGAAGGTTATTAGCCAGCTGGGAGGTGAAATAAAACGAGTAGTGTCTCCAGGAATAGCCGGTTCGTGTAGGAAAAACACTTCAATCCGTTGTTTGTCTTCTCCTTTGAGTTACCGCTCTTGTTTTCTCCAAGGGTTTAAACTGAATCCAGCCAAGTCCTCACTCTCTGCATGGCCCTCGAGCCCAATAGGTTACCCCTCTCCCCTAGTCAAGCCTGTGCTGTAACATTTCACTTTGCTTCGAAAGGTGGAAACGTGGCTTCTGCAGCTTGAACAGACTATGCAGGACACAGTGCGACATTCTATCACCGAGGCCATCGCGGCCTATGAGGAGAAACCGAGGGAACTGTGGCTTTTCGATTTCCCGGCTCAAGTCGCGCTAACCGGCTCACAGATCTGGTGGACCACGGATGTGGGAATAGCCTTCAGCAGGCTGGAGGAAGGCTATGAGACGGCCCTGAAGGATTTCCACAAAAAACAGGTATTTTACAGATAAGTGATGTCGAGATTTAAAGGAACTTGAAGAGGGAGGTAAGCTTCATTCATTCATTCCCCATTCATGGAGTGTCTTCTGTCTGCATGGCAGTGTACTAGGAAGATTTTTAGCAATGAGTTGTTTAACTTTTTATTTTCTCCCTTGGTGTTATTCTTCTGGTTTTCTACATGGGTTTAAAAAATACCCATCATGTCCATGATCCCCCAAGACTCTAATCTCTCACTCATTCCTGGATTTGTGCCTATTTCTTTCCTTCCCTGTCAGACTCCATCTCGGCTGACTGTGTGTTTATTAGAGAATATGTGCATGACTAAGAAGGGTGGGTGACTATTCAACAAAGACAGATGTTTTCATGTATTATGGTTTTCTGTTCATTATAAATCACAGATGAGCAACTTTGAAAAATAGTCTATTTTTATTTTTTTAATCCTCACCTGAGCACACACTCAGAGAGAGGAAGCAGGCAGGGGGAGAGAGAAACATCAATCGGTTGCCTTCTGGACATGCCCTGACTGGGAATTGAACCGGCAACCTTTCAGTGCATAGGACGATGCTCAGCCAACTGAGCCACTCCAGCCAGGCCGAAAATAGTCTATTTTGAATTCCATGTTATTCATCTCATTCTGTATGACCTCTCCTTAAGCCCCCTGTCTAAGGTGTGCTTTTAGCTGTGGAATAGGTCAGAGATATGGTCTTTCTTTTGGTTTATAGATTAAGAGAATATCAGGCTTGGAAAGGGGTGGAAATATTAGTTTGTCTGCTCTTCTTGTTTTCCGTGGATAAAGGCTGAATCCAGAGACATTAGGTGACTTTGCCAAGTTGCACAATTTGTAAGCGAAAATGGCAGGGCCAGCAGAACTCAGCATGCTTTCCAGATTTCCCATTGCTTCTCTGCGTAGCAGGACTTGGAACTTGGTGAGTTTTTGAATACAAAGTCAACTTTGCACTTCTGAAATAAACTTCACTTGTATGTATTTTTTGCTGGAATCTCTTTGCTAATATTTCATCAAGGAATTCTGCATTTTTGTTCAGAAGGGACACTTACCTGCAGTTTTCTTTTATTTTTTTATAGTATGTTTACTGGGTTTGGGGGTCAGGGTTATGCTCTTAAAAGGAATTGGAAAGTATTACATCCTCATCTACTTTATGAAAGAGTTTATGGTCGGAATCACTGGTGCTGCCCTCTGGGCCTGGAGTTTTCTGTGAGGAACATTTTAGGATTAGAAATTGATTTCTTCTACATACATGCTGCTTTGTAGCTTTTTTGTGTCTTTTTTCCCCTTTGTGTCAGTATTACTTAAGATTTTTATCCATATCATCTAAATCAGGGGCTGGCAAGTTACAGCCCACTGGCCAACTCTGGCCATGGGCCACGTCTCTGGCTGCTTTCATGCTACTTCACACAACATCAGCCACGCGGAGTCATAACGGAGCCCATGTAGCCTGCCCAGCCGGAAGCAGTTACTGTCCGGCTCTTTAGAGAGAACATTTGTCCACCCCTGACCTAAGTTGTCAAGCTGAGTCGTCATGGGTATCTTGACATTGTCCTTGGCAAACTGTCCTCCTCCTACTCCTGGTGGTGTTGAGTTGTGTTTCCTCTTGTTTTGTTTTGTTCTTCATTGTGCTCTCTAGGTGTTTATCCATCTTATTTGTATTTTCTAAGAACTAATCTTTGACTTTTTCCATTGTGAGTTTTATATTTTGCTGATTTCTGCTTTATCTTGATTACTTAGAGTTTAATCTCCTTTTTTTCAAATTTCTTAAGGTGGGAGCTCAGATGACTGATTTTACACATTTTTCTTTCCTAGTATAAGCATTTGAAAAAACTCCCGAACTTGAAGAATGTCTTTCGGAAACCAGCAGAGCAAATCATGCTTCATGGGGAAGCACTAGAATCCTTTCCATTAGTATCAGGGCCGAGGTGATTATGCTCACAGTCTCTGACGTCCATTGCTCAGTATTGTGCTGGGGTGTAGCAACAGGACCAGAGGAGAAGTGGGACATGACCAGGGGGAAGGAAGGTAGCCAACTGGGATTCCACGGCACATGCCCTGGTGGTAGGGACGAGTACGGAGCCTGGTCTCTCTCGCCGTTTCCTGCGTTCTAGCTGGTGGAAACAAAAGTCCATTGTTCCTGATATTGCTGACACTGAAACATCGGGATTAAAGGTTATTGTTTTGAAACAAGGAGAACATTATTTTTGTGTTATGTCCAGTGGGGAAGGGATTGAGGGCTTTGGGAGCTGACCCCCACAGCACTTAGCAGTCACACTGATTTGCTGAGTGAGATTTAATATGTGTACAGAGGGGCCCCTTCTAGCTGCATGACACAGTGGCCTGGGTGGCCTGGACTGGGAAGCCTGCCATGCCCGATGCTGGTGAAATTCCAGCAATTCCGCAGCTGCACGGGAAATGTTCTTCCTGCTTCTCTCATGTTCCCGCGTTCAGAAAAGCATACCACCGCTCTTCACGGGCTTCTCACACTAGAATGCCCTTTGGTTTTTCTTCCAGCCAATTCCCAGTCAGCCACCAGCTCTCTTCACTTGCCCTGAATAGCTCTATTCTCACTCCTTCCCCGACCGCTTTGTTAGTATCCCAGGCCCAGCTACTTTTTTCTCACCTGGAGAACTGGAGCATCCTCCTCTCCCGTCTCTTTTTCCAATCTCGTTTTCCTCCAGTTCTTCATGCGACAGGCAAAGATATCTTTTGAAAACACAGCTCTAATGATCACTCCACTGCCCCAAACCCTTCAGCAACATCTCATCAGCCTCTTCTCTAAGCTGGCCGAGCCCTGCAAGTTTGGGCCCTGGCTTCCCGCTCAGCACTTATGTACTGATCCCTGTTTCCCTTCCTCTGTCACCATTCCAGACGTCTCCCAGTTCCCAGGCAAGGTCACCTGCTATATCCTGGACCTTCCCACAGGCTGCTTTCTGTGGGTGGCCAGCCCTCCGTTCTCTCTAACCTAAATTATACGCATTCTCTAGGTCTGAGCAATACATACCCTTTCCTCCAAAATGTCCTTCCCAGCCCTGGATTAGGCAAGGCCCTGTTTCTGTGTGTTCTCATAGTACTTTGTTCTCGCTCCAGCAAAACAAGTGCAATTATTTGTCTGCATTCTTCATTGGCCTGTACGCTCTGGAAACAGTAACCACTTTTATCTTATATGAATGATTGGGTAAAAGAAGAAAATGTTGTCCTGGTCTGTACTGTTGCTGTCATCCATTCATTTCTTCCTTCATCCATATGATGAGTGTTTACTGAGCACATGCTTTATGCTGGGCACTGTGCTAAGTCTGGGAATGTAGTACCAAATAAGGCAGCTTAGGGCCTGGCTCCTTTGAGCATATCATCAAGTGGAGGAGAGAAACAATAAACAGAGAAATAAGTAAATGAATGATAGGACACTAGTAAGTACCATGAAGAAACACAATAGAAACCTGTGGAATAATTGGGTAGGGAGTCATGTAAGTAGGATGGCCAGGGAAGGCCCATCGAAGGAGGCAAATCTGAGCTAAGACTTGAATGATGGAAGGAAGCCAACTGTACAAAGATCAGAGTGAAAAGGACTCCAGGCAAATGAAACAGTTTCTGCCGCCTTGGGCAGCCATGACGGAGGAACAAAGAGAAGGCCAGTACCATTGGGTGGGTACGAGGTAGGCAAAGGGTGGTGGGAGGTCAGGGAAGGCGTTGTGCTCATGAATAAGCTAAAGTACCATTGGGGGGGTACGAGATAGGCAAAGGGTGGTGGGAGGTCAGGGAAGGCGTTGTGCTCATGAATAAGCTAAAGGCCAAGGTGTCCCAGGAAAATAGCCACAGGGGTTTCAGGGAGCTTGTTAGATATTTGACTTAAGGCTAACATCTTTGATCCACTAGGAAATCACGTGGCACTGCTTTGATTGTGTGTATGTATGTGTGTGTGTGTGTGTGTGTGTGTGTATGTGTATAGTGAAAGCTGCCAGGGGATGGTTTATGTGTCACAGATCATAAACTTGCATGCAGTTATAGTGTGATCATACAGTAATTGCAGCCCAAATGATATAGGCATTTTATAATTACTTATTTTTGTGGGTACAGAATTTTATTACAAAAGAGCATCATTGGAGTAGCTGTCATCTTGAAAGACAACATGAGATCCCCAACATATGATGCTGTGCAGATAATGTTGATGAGCTGTATTTTTAATCATCTTCCCCTTGACGGAACTTTTGGGGAAAAACCAAGTGAATCGATAATGGGGAAATCACAAGTTGTAGGGAGGCTCGGACAAGACAATCCATGTGAAAGCACTTGAGCTTGTAAATGTTCTTACAAGGTATAAGGTATTACTGTTGTTGCAACCAACTCTTTTTATCCAAATACTGGTCCTGGCTTAAGATTTGAGACTTAAAGACTGGATATCTGGACCCAGATGAGAAAATATCCAAAGCCAAACACCTCTTTTCTAACCAACATCTGTGTAAATTTCCTGGAGGAACTTATGTGTGCCTGGTGCATTCATTTATCTTTTTCGGGAAACACTCATAGAGCACCTCCTATTTGACAGCTAGCTCGTCGGTGGCTCTGGGGACAAAGCAGTGAGCAAGACCTTATCTTCATGGCCCCTGAAACCTAGGGGAATGATGAACATTGAACATGGCAAACATGGAATAATGACCACCTTTGTTTTTGTTACAGCACAACTACATTTTATAGATGTAAGATACTGAAAGCAGATGAATGTTTATAGGCCGTTGCACGTTCGGAATACCTGAAGTGCTTATTTTTTTATTCCTTTGAACCAACTTCCCGTTGTGTTTGATGTCCTGTCTCCCTGGGATGCTGCTCGCACAGCCAGTTTCCCAGCTTGAAGGTGCTGGTGAGGGCACAGGCTCTGAAGTCAGACTGTCTAGGTTTGGGTTCTCCCTCCCCTGATCGGGGAGTGTGGTTACTGTGTCTGTGACTCAGTTTCCTCACTTGCAGAATTAGGATGCTAGTAGATTGTTGTGAAGATTTAAATGAGATGATACAGGCTATACGCTCAATCAGTGCCAGGCACATTGTACATTCTCATTTAATGTAAATGGAGTGTGTTGTGGTTTTGGTCTCCCTGCCTGCTCTCTCCATTCTGTCTAGCGTGACAGAGTCTTCTCCAGTTCAGCCGCACAGCGGCCTCAGGGTGACTGGTGTTTTCTGGGATGTGACAATAGCTCTGTAGGCAGTGGTTCTCAATCTTCTGGCTCTTTAAATACAGTTCCTCATGTTGTGACCCAACCATAAAATTATTTTCGTTGCTACTTCCTAACTGTAATGTTACTACTATTATGAATCGTAATGTAAATATTTGATATGCAGGATGGTCTTAGGTGATCCCTGTGAAAGGGTCGTTCGACCGCCAAAGGGGTCGCGACCCACAGGTTGAGAACCGCTGCCCGTAGGGAACGTGTTTTTGACAGTAGGCTATGAGGGTTTGTATGACCTCTGTGATAGGTCATACTTGCCTGTTACCAACTCTCTCAGGAGCTAACAGTTTGTAATGGACTGCCCTTTACAGAGCAAAAGAGGAAAGGAGACAGTATTGTTTCACAATATGCTACCCAGGAATAAAACAGACTTTCTTTTTTTGCTAATAAACATTGAGTTAGACAAGAATGTTGTGGGTAAATAAGTTTGCTAACAAAATGAGCACCTATAAGGGTATCTTTCAAACCTTTCTGACCACAAGTAATAAGAAATATTTCATATCAGACCAAGTTTATGCATGTATGTATACACTCAAAAGTCTGAAAGTGAAGTGTCACAAAACTATGTTATTCTTACTACTGTAATACCACGTTTTCTCTTCCATGTCATTCCATTCCATTCTGTGAAGAGACCAGTGTCAAACATACTGATCTGAGAAACTGACGGACCTAAACAAGAATAGGGATGCGAATAAGAAGAATTAAGCTCTACATTTCAAATGTTTCCTTAGTCATCATTACTATCTCCTACCCAAGAACCACCCCCCAAACAAACAACAAAACACTTGACATTTACCTCTTCCTATACTTTCGTAAACTTTACCTCAAATTGGCCTTTGAGAATTTGTAGTCATTTCCATCCAGCAGTTGTGGGCTGCATGACATCACCCCTGGAGTGAAGTCCATTCAGTGCAGCCAGGAGACCTTCTGCCTCTCGCTTTGTCCACAGTCCCAGCTCAGAGGAGGCAATGATATTCATATTATTTAAATTAATTAACTTAATAACATCCCTCCCTTCATCTCCTACTCCCCACCCCGGGGTGCTTGAGGGCCAGCTGAGAGGACACTTGAAATTGTTTTATAAATGAACGGCCTCTACAAATATGAAGACTATTGGGCTGTTAGGTTCTGTATTTGTAACCCTTACCTTGTTTTTAAAAATTCCCTTCTAGATTTCTCAGTTGAATGCACTGATTGCACTTCTGCTGGGAGAGCTGCTCCCTGGAGACAGGCAGAAGGTCATGACGATTTGCACCATAGACGTTCACGCCAGGGATGTGGTGGCAAAGCTCATTTCTCAGAAGGCAAGTTGTTCGTAGGGATTTCATCCCTGAAGGGTTTTGGCAAGTCAGGAGCCTCTGATCCAGATCATCCAAAAGATTAACCCAGGATGGAGAAGCCTGAGAAGTCCCCATGTTCACCTCTGTCTCCAGCTTCTCTGCATCCAGTCACCCCAGTCCATTGGCTGGTGATGATCCCCTCGGGGGCTCACCCAGCCAATAGCAATACGATTTGTGTCATTGAAACCATTTCTGCATGCCTTCGATTATTTTCCTTTTGAAGAAGGAGAAATGTTGGTCACACCTTGTCTTTTCCTTTAAAGGCTAAGTGACTTTCTTTAAAGCAATTATTTTCTAAACCTTTGAGAGTAGATAACCTTTTTATCCCTTTAAAAAATCTGTGTGTCTCTTAGGTATTGGCATTTTTTAATGTGAAATAATTTTCTTACCCCTTTTCCAAAATATAAATGTCAGGTATGCTTGTCTACTGGACGGCATTGGTATATCATGCCCATCACCTACTTCCTCCAAATCCCTTTTGTTTTGGGGGGGAGTGGTGGTGGACTCAAGACAATTCCTTTCACAATTTGAATGCATGTATAGTGAAATGGTTTCTGTTGTTTTTCTAGTTCTTTCTCAAGTTATTAAAATCCAAGTGAATTTTCGTTTTCTCCACAAGTGCAAAAAATGCTTCTTTGATGTGAGCCATAAAGTTGAAAATACTTCTTGATCCAGGCTCAGGACCATTAGTGAATAATGTTCTTCAATTGCTAATCTGAAACTGATCCTTGCAAAAACCACTTACCGTGTATTCTCATTTTGATAATGAACCATTGTTAACTACACTCTGAGTATGACCTTGCACCTTCTTACATATTTTATTATGTTTTATCAGTGCTGATTTGCTTGCAGAAGGATAAATTATGATTTAAAATATGTCCTTTATTTTGTATTAAAAGAGATACAGACTTTGCCTAATTTCTGATCATCTGACACACATAAGTAGACAATGTTGAGACGTATGTAGATATCAGACAAATTAATAGACAATTTTGGTAACATAAAGTGATTCCAAAAAGATCCTAGGGTCACATTTGAAAGAGACTGGAATTATATTTTCACACTGGGAGAAGAATGGATAGATTAAGATAGTAAAGAATAGCAGTGAAAAAAGATACTGTTATTTGACTTAATAAAAAATGAAGTGGGAATCCTCTATTAAAGCAGGCTGGTTTTAGAATGGGCAGTTGAAAGTATCGTTTACCTCTGACTTTCAGAAATTATGGATTCTGTGTCGTTTTAGTAGAGACTGTATTTTTTCACCTGATTTTAGTATAAAGTTACAAAAGTGATCAAATGTCCTGGGGTGAATCATGAGAAGGGGAAAAACATTGCTTGAAAAAATTGATATTGTTTTAAAATAAAGGCCTTCTCAAAATGACAACTTTAATTACACACACATTTCTTATTACGTATTCAGCCATCTGCCTGCAATTACAGTTTGCAGTAGCATGCAAGAGATTTCCCTTTTGTGAGGTTTTTAGAAATAAAATGGAATCAATAGGGTTGATTGGACTAATAAACTAAGCTTGATGCCTCAAAGCTATTTGTGTCTGACGTGGAATGATCACGTATGTTTTTAGGTGGTCAGTCCCCAAGCTTTTGCTTGGCTGTCTCAACTTCGTCACCAGTGGGAGGACTCCCGGAAACACTGTTTTGTTCATATCTGTGATGCCCAGTTCCAATACTTCTATGAATATTTAGGAAACAGCCCTCGACTAGTGATCACTCCTCTAACCGACAGGTAACAATACGTTTGAGCTGGATGGGGGGGAAAAACAAGCCCTAAAAGTCCCCTAGCCTGGGTAAAAATGTGAGATTGAAAAGGAAGGAATGCGAGAAAATATTGAACACATTGGGAAACAATAGCAAGGCAATGTGTAAACAAATGAGTTAAGTAACATAGTGAAGGTTGACTTCCGTTAGAAGCACATTTTCATAAGGAATTGTTTCCATTTGCATAGTACTTTGAATCTTTCAAGGCATTTACCTTTGGCTTTCCTAATTTCTTCCGACAACAAACCTCATTTTATGGAGGAGAAAAGGGAGGCATGTTGATGTCAAAAAAACTTAGGTAAGATTATCTGCTTATTGGCAATGTAGACACTAGTCCCTGGTCTTCTGACCCCCCAGTATATGTCTTTCCACTAGATCTTCTGTCTGTACTAAGACAAAAATAATTCCTAAATCTCCTGAAAACCCATATAAGGCACTTGCTATTTGTGGGGTTTTCCTTTTACAAATATTAAATTCTGCCTTTGCATAATTTTTCTCAGTGTAAGAACTGCTGAATCTTTCCTGCAAAAAGAAGTATTATAATCTAAATGTGTATAGCAACATATTTAAACTGAATTCCTAAAATACATTTTAATATAATAATTTGTCTTTGTATATATTTCCTTTATACTTTGAAGTAGGTATATATTATTTGCAGACTATGTATTTATATATATTTACACATTTCAGTGTATTCATGAAGTAGTAGTTTAATGATGTCAATGTTTAATTCATCAGTGTTTAATTCATCAATGTTTAATTCATCATTGTTTTATAAACAATAGTTTGAGATGTCATCTGCCATATTAATAGTATTTTTACCTAGAAATATCAGAAAGTCTGTAGCATTACAAATCAGGTGTTATTTGTATTCAAGTACATAGCTCTTAGGAAATGAGACAAACAGATAAAGCAATACATTTTTCTCTATTATCGTTCAACAAACAACCTAAAAGAAAGTGAATATGAAATATTATCCTGACTTGTATTATTGCCACAAACAAATCAAAGGCATATCAATATTGTGTGCTACTACCCCATTCTGGATGTTGACTTCTTCAACTTTAGAGCAAATTGGATTGCCCTCAATGTTTTGTAGAAATCTCCTATAGACTGTAATATGTGTTTTCTGTTGCTGAAAGGTGTTACATTACTCTAACTCAGTCACTTCGCCTAACCATGAGTGGGGCTCCCGCTGGCCCCGCGGGTACAGGGAAAACCGAAACCACCAAAGACCTTGGACGTGCCCTTGGCATGATGGTTTATGTGTTCAACTGCTCAGAGCAAATGGACTACAAAGTAAGTTAGTTACACGATGATGTAGTCTAACATTGTTCCTGCTTCGAAATGATTCGAAACAATAGCCCCCTCTGTTGAATTCTTCATGCCTCACTCCATCATTTTAGTCCATAGGAAATATCTACAAGGGATTGGTGCAGACGGGAGCTTGGGGCTGCTTCGATGAGTTCAACCGGATTTCTGTGGAAGTTCTGTCCGTGGTGGCCGTACAAGTGAAAATGATACACGATGCCATCAGAAACAGGAGGAAGAGGTGAGGGCACAGGGCTTTTGTTCTGTTGTCACACGTAGTAATGCAGTAAACATGGAGTGATGCAGTGAACTTCACCTTCACAGTCTGTGCTGCCTCTCCCTGTCTCGTGAAATGGAGAAAACAAGAGATACTGGTTACTTTTGAATAATTATTTAGAATACCCTCCCACATTTTAATTAGTTGTTTTTAAGCATTGAATACAGCAAAGGTATATTATTTTAATCACTTAAAAAATAAACACACTCTGGAATGCTACATTCGGTGATCGATTCTCAATCCTGATCTTACTTGGCCTCCGGGCAGCGTCTTACTGGGTCCCTCCCTTCTGGGGACACATTTTCTTCACATGAGTTTCAGGATAGCAGTCTTCCCACCCTCAGGGCTGTTACTTCTCACCTATAAAATGGGGGAAAGTATAGTACTCTACCTGATAGGTTACTGTGATGATTAAATGTAAAGTTCTTGGATAAATGCTTACTTGGAGTAAGTATCAGTGATAGCTACTTTTTAATACTGTTATTTCATGACCTATTAATTCAGGGTGCCACTGGCCCCAATCTTGAGACTTCACTCTCTCTCTATATATATGCTTCTTCCCTTGGTGCTTTCATCCAGTCACATGACCTTCAATACCACCCGTATGCTGCTGGCTACCAGCTGCCCAGACCTCGTTTCTCCGACATCTAGACTTACATAGGCAATGTCGGGGCATCTCAAGACCCCATTTGATGTCTCATAGTCCTCTCATCTTTAATATATTCAAAGTAGAAATTTTGGTCTTTCCACCACCAACACCTGCTTTGTTAGTTGCCCCATCCCAGTAGATTATAGCCTCATTTTCTTCCAGTGACTTGGGCCACAAACTTTTCAGAACCTAACCACTTCTTAACAGGATGCCACATCCCAAGAGATAAAAGACAACAGGAGTTGATTTGATGGCTTAATTTGAGAAATAATTATAGTACACAGTTGTGGTTTTCATTGTAACGTTTTTGGTATACAGTAAATAATGTAAATCTCAATTATCTGACCTGCCCCTTCACCCCCTATGTTTTAGGGTATTTTGCTCAGGTAAGAACATTTCAGTCTCCCCATGAGGGAAAGATGATCTAGCCCCTTAAACCTGTGAACCTAAAGTGAAGTTTCCAGTTATTATCATAATTACAGCTGCATACTTCCACCTTCTAGAACACCTCCCAGCCCTCCACCATGTGGCTCTGAGATATCAGATTCCTGTGCCTTACTGGCCCCTACTCTAATGCCATGTGAGAGAAGTTAGGTTCTTGCCTCTTTTATTCCCTGACAAGTTGATTGAACTTTTAGTTAAAATCTTATTATTTGATGCAACCCAGATGTCATTGGAAGCCATCTTTCCTTATGGAGATTTATATAAGTGACGCATGCAAGAATTTCTGAACACTGCCCCGTTCCTCTCAATAGCCTCCCGTGTCTCCACGTCTGCATACATATGCGTTGTACCTGTCCATCTTCGTGCTAGTCCATCTGGAGATGGCTGGCTCCTTTGTGATTTCATGTGTTTTACTAAGGTCTGTTGACACTGAGGATTTAAGAGTTGGGACCATGCCTTCCCCACAGAGTCTTCAGCATCTTGCTGGCTCTACCCTCTCGAGGTCCATACCTGTGACTTGTGGTTATTCCTGCACTCTTTAGCCACCTCTCTTTCTGCAAGAAGCCCTCCCGGCCCTCTGGCTGATATTCTAGGAATAAAGATTTCTCCATTCTTACCTTGGCTATCCATAATCTACCTTCTCTTAATTTTCCAAGTACCTAAGAAGCTCATAGTCCTAAAAATTGTGGCTCTTTTCCCTTCTCATTCTATGTTGTAGGCCTGGCTCCTTAACTACTCTAGTCCTCCCCTCTCTCAACAAGAACAGCCTTATACCTTGTCTCATTTACTTCATGTGAAAGTTCCCTTCTACTTATCCTTCAATTTGACTCTTCTAGCCCTTTGCCATTCCATTGCCCTGGCCCTCAGCAGCCTCTGGGCCCTTCCAAATCCTGCTGAAAACCTTTCACTGCTTCTCCAGTGCCTTCCAGTGCTGATAACAGCAGTAGCCAGAGCTACCATCTGTTGAGTATGTACCATGTCCTAGGCGCTGTGCTCTTAGCCACTTATATCCATCATCTCTTAATCATATAATCCAAGAGGAGGGGGATGTTATTATCCCTTTTTTTAAAAATTAGATGAGGGAATTGGAACATGCCTAAAGTGATAAAGCTGGTCTCTGAATGCTCGCAGTCTGGCTCCAGAGCTAGCTGTCACTGTTCTACCTCTCTGTGGTTGTCAATGGGTATTTGTTGTGAAAGGGAAGGAGGGAGGAATGGAGGGAGAGAAGAAAGGAGAGAGAGGACGAGCAAATAGACAAAATAACGACTGAGCAAGAAGCTCCTTTCTCCTCTTAACACGGGCATCTTCTATCTGTGCAGTATCTCATTCAAAGAATTGCAGCCCACATCGGAAGGCAAAAATGGCCTCACCTTTTATTAACTGTTAAAGTAGTCAAGTCCTCATTTTTACATTCTAGCTTTGTATGGCTATGCTAAAATAGGAAAGAATACTTCCCAGATCTGTGGTTCCTTTGGGGGAGATGGAGTGCATTTTTAATAAACATGCTTCAGAGCATATTCAAAATATGTATGCTGGTGAATTTTAAAGAAAATTACACAGAATAAACAGCTTCCTAATAATGTTTGCATTTGCCAGTGGTTTGCATTTGTCAATGTGCATTCATATTCAGTGAACACGTTTAATTTCATCAACATTCTTCTTACGGCAGATTTGTATTTCTCGGGGAAGCTATCACACTGAAGCCATCAGTTGGAATATTTATTACCATGAACCCGGGATATGCTGGTCGAGCCGAATTGCCGGAAAATCTCAAAGCTCTTTTCAGGCAAGTGTTACGCTTTGCGGTTTAGCATCTGGAGCTCTCATGCCACCTAACGTTGCTGGTTTGCACTGTTCAGTGATGTATTTTTACTTGAGACTCTGTGGAAAGCCCCTGTTCCCTCTTAGGGATCACTTTATGGAGAGAACTTTCTCCATGAAAAATGAACGCTTTTGAAATACGAAACCGGACCCAAAATCATTCCTTAAAAGTCATGGTACATTTGAACATTTAATACTAGATTTTGTGTAGTGATATTTTTATTATAAACATAATTTTCACAAGTGATAGACTATTTGGAAAATACAGAAAAGAATAAAAAAAATTACAGCTTCACTACCCAGAAATAATGATGGTGATATTTTTTTTCTACTCTCTCTCATAATTTGTATTTTATGGAGTGAAGATAGTAGGTTAGACATAATTTTTATTTAGTTCTTAATATTTTGACACAAGTAGTTTATCATAGTATTGAATATGCTCTGGAAAGGCCATTTTATGTAGCTCCAACACAGTCTCTCTCCTGGCTTGTTCAGACTTTTCTTAACCATCCCCTGGACATACAGGGTTTGTGGTTGTTGTTTTTTTTTTCCAGTTTTTTACGATCCTAAAATAACAGGCTATAAACCTCTCTTCGCATAAAGAGTTATCCTCATTTCTGATTATCACCCAGAATAGATTGCAACACATAGAATTCCTTGGTGAATGATTATAAGGCCTATTGATGACCTCCTTTCCAAAAATACTCGCCAATAGATACACCTCTTAGCAGTCTCTCAGAGAGCCTGTGCTATTGCCTTTGAACCAGTTACCTCATATTTTAAACCAACTTCATTCAGGTATAATTCCATACAGTGAAATGCTCCAATTTAAGTGTATAGTTGGCAGAAACACCACCACAATCAAGAAATGGAATGTTTCCAACCACCTGAAGTTCTCTGGTGCCCTTTGAGGTTCATCCCCACACCACTGATGTGCTTTCTGTGACTTTGGGTTCAACCTGTCTTTCCTAGAGTTCATGTCAATGAAACCATACAGCATGTACTTATTTGTGATGTATTCTTTCCTTGAACATCATGGTTTTGGGATTCTTCCAAGTTAGAGTGTACCGATAGTTTGGTCCTTTCTGTTGCTGATGAGTATTCTCCTGTATGCACGTACTACAGTTTATTTACCCAGTCACCACTTGATCGACATTTGGGTTGTTTCTAGTTTGGGACTATTTTGAATAAAACTGCTGTGAACTTCCTTGTACAATCTTTGTGTGAACATAAGTTTTCTTCTGGGCAAAGGTCTGTGCATTGAATTGCTAAGTCACATGGCAAATGTATGTTAACTTCATTAGAATTTGCCAATCTGGTCTCCAAGATGGTGGTAGCATTTTACATTTTTTCTACATTCTTGTCAAAACTTGGTATTGTCAGGATTTTGGGTTTCAGTCCGTCTGAAGGAGATGTGGTGGTTTGCCATTGTGGGCTTTGCTTGCGTTTCCACGATGGCTAATGCTGTTGCACATCTTTTCATGGAACTGGCCATTCCCTTGCCATCTTTTGTGAAGTGCTATGTTCTGGGTACAATTTCTTTATTAAATACATATATTACAGATGTCTTTCTCTCAATTTGTAGCTCACATTTTCATTTTCTTAGTGGTGTTCATCAAAGATAGAAGTTTTAAATTCAATGAAATATTTATCAGGTTGTTTTATAATTTTCCTCTCATAGGAAAGTTTGGTATGTCCCAGGTTGCAAAAATTTCCAACTGTGTGTTTTTCTAGAAGTTTCGTTTTGTAGTTTTCATACAGGTTTTCTTTTTTCTGTTAATGTGCTGAATTATATTGATTTTTTCAAATGCTAAGCAAGTCAATATTAATTCCAGTGATAAACTTCACTTGGTCTGGAGATATTATTTTTATACAGATTGATGGATTCAATATGCTACTATTTTGTTAAAGATTTAAAAATCTATGTCATGTTGGATATTGGTCTTTAGTGTCTTTTTTTGTAATATCTTCATCTGGTTTTGGCATCAGAGTAATGATGACCTCCTGCAATGAATTGGCTAATGTTCCTGTCTTCTCTATTTGTTATTAAGAGTTTTTTTATAGGATTAGTATTGTTTACCTCTTATATATCTAATAGACTTAAAATCAGTGAAGCCATCTAGACCTAGATTTTTCTATGTGAGAATCTTTTTAGTGATAAATTCAGTTTCTTTAATAGATATGGAATTATTCAGATTTTTTATTTCTTCTTGAATTTATTCCAAGCAAATCAGCAAACACTACACCTGTGCTTCTGCCATTTTCAGACTGCATCTATTTCTATGTATCCAGTAACTAATATATATGTGTGTGTGTGTGTGTGTGTGTGTGTGTGTGTGTGTGTGTGTATGTATATATATATATTTAGTTGAAGTGAAGGGTCTTGTTAGCTCTGATTGACAGAGGTAATTGTGACCTGCTTGCGAATGGTTTAGAATGTTGGTACAAATTAACCACTTGATTCAGCAATTTGTACTTACTATCTTACCACATTTAAAAACTAAATTTCATATTTACTTTGCAGACCCTGTGCCATGGTGGCCCCCGACATTGAACTGATCTGTGAAATCATGTTAGTCGCTGAAGGTTTCGTGGATGCACGCGCGTTAGCCCGCAAGTTCATCACGTTGTACACGCTCTGCAGGGAGCTCCTCTCCAAGCAGGTGAAGAGCCTCGTGTTACTTTTTCTGGGCTTTTACATCCCCTTGAAACAGCTTTTGAAACACAGATGCTGTGTCATTTATCGTTCAAATTAGTTAGACATTTAGAAATACGTTTATATTTTCTGTAAAATTTTGAAAATCTGTATTTTACAATTCTTAATGTTTTCTCTGAAATTAAACTTGAGACGATGTAAGTCTCGTGTTTAATTTGTAGCTAATAAAGCTTTTGTCACTGAGCTATGTGATTTTCTTTAAACTTGACCACTGTTATAATTATAAATGGATGTTGGTGATGTCTCCCTTGGTTGGTGAGAATATTCTTGTCCATGGGAGTCAGGTAAACCTGATTTTCTGGAGAACTCCTCAGGAAATGTTCCATTGACATTTTCTCATTTGCGGGTACTCCTTTATCTGAGAGTAGAGCTTGCTTTTTTTTTTTTAACTTTTGCTCTACAATACCCCAGTCTCTGAAATGGGTCAAACTTAAGTATTTTCTATTCTCTAGTCATCAACTTCTCGCCGTTTCACTGAAGTTGCTGATATGTCACAAAGATGACACGTTTCAGCATCATTATTTTTAAACTCAGCTCTTGGGCCCCCTTTGACTTTGGCCCTTCGACCTTTCATTAATTCCTGGTGACATTATTTCAAAGCCATTCCAGGATAAAGGTATTGGTGAAATTTAGAATCCGAGAAATTCATGTTGTCATTTTAATAACTGTTAGTTTACATTCTGGGGGGAAATTGTATTAAATTTAATAATATAGACCAATGTTCATGGCAATGCTATATGCGAAAAAGACCCTCCAGCATATCAAACTGTAGATGTAATATATAGTTTGCATGTATTTTATATTATACTATGTGTTTCATATACATATAAAGTGACTGGAAAATATCTGTGGTTTTTAACATTTGTCTCTGGATGGTAAGATTGTGGTATTTTTTATTTTCCTCCTTATTCTTACTTGTAACATCTTTTTGTTCAGTGAGTCTATTTTAATTTTATAATGGGAAACACTCAGAAGAAAAAATGTCATTGACCTTGGGAAGCATGGAGTTGCAACCATATTCATGTCTAGTAGTGATATTTAAATATTTAGTGAGCATCTACTGTATACAAGATAATATACTTCCTTTTTTATGATAATGAAGGGGCTGAGACTCAGAAAAAAATGAAACAAACACTCAGCTTTATGACTTCAAAGAACTTACATAGGAGAGACTCAATTTACATGAAATAAAAATTGGAATACCGTGGAGAGTGAAAAGATTATCATAGTTTCAAGGAAGAAAAGAACTAATGTTTATTGAATAGTTAGCATGTGTTAGCTTTTTAGATCTTTACAAGAGGTTTGTGAATTTGGCATTATTCGTTCTATTTTACAGACGAGGAAATGGAGTAAAATGACCTGTCCAAAGTCCACAGCCAACAAGTGGTGGGAGCAGGATTTGAATTTAGTTCTTTCTAATCCTTTCTAGGACACCTCCAGCCACTTAGAAGAGGAAGATGATGGGAGGACAGGCAGAACAGGCAAGGAGAGAGTTTCCCATCTCAGAGAAATGTCGTGGGTGAGATGAGGCAGACAAATCTGGCCAGGACAGAAGTGCTGAGTTAGGAGCTCAGTTCACTGATCATTTTTAAGCTGGAGGGATGGATTGGAAAAGAACCAGTGGACATTTTTTGACAAAAAAAACCACCACCCAACAAAAACACATAAGGACAATGGTGAAGATTTTGTTAGCAGTTGCTTGTAAGGCTTACATGTTTAGGAGAGTCACTAAATCTTTATGTGCATAATTTCTCCTATATCCTCTTCATTAATATTGTTGCTTCAGTGACAGCTCCTGCCCCAATCTCCCTGGCCTCCAAACTCTGCTTCTTCCCCCGTCTCCTTCCCTCCTCAAGCCTCAGTCTACTTCTCCATCAGTAGCTTTCAAACGATTTTTACCAGGGCCCACAGTAAAAATGCTTTTTCAGTTGAGGCTTGGCATACTCACATGTGTGCACAACTGAAACAAAAATTTTCACCAGACACTTCTTGCCTTTGTTATCTGCAGTGCACTCTGATAGTCTTCATTCCGTTCTGTTTTGTTTTATAACTGACAGAATTGATGGCCGAGACCCCACTAACCTGACTTCATTCCCCACTAGTGGATTGAAGGGCTTGTTCTTATACCTGTATATACTGTTTCACTGACCACACAGCACTGACTCGTTTTACTTGACCACACCTTGTAAAGTGGGTAGATACTTTCATCTGCCTTTTTACAGATGGGGACCCTGAGACTTGGCGGGGTTGAGTTCCTCACAGGCACAGCTGAGAGACGTGAGAGGAGTGTTGCTACTGTGTGGATTGTGGTGGGGAGGCAGAGGTCGGTTCTGGATAATCAGTTCATTCACTTACCTTTTCTGAGCACCTGCCCTGTGCAGGGCACCGTGCCAGGACCTAGAAGACAAAAGCAAACAAAATACAGGCTCTGTTCTTCAGAAGCTCAGAGCCTGTGAGAAGAATCTTCCTTGGGAGTAAGCGGTACTGGTTTATAACAGGATTTTATTGAATCCGTTTTGACTGTGTTAAGTGCCAACATGAGGGCCGGAGCATTGGAGAGATGAAGAGGTAGAATAAGGAGGGCAATCCGAGACCTCAGGCTGGGGGCGGAGGGGAGGGACTAGCGAGAGGCTGTCTGCACAACTTGGGCACATGCGCCTGTGGATGGAGGTGAAAATGGAAGTGGGTGAACTCCTGAGTTAGCAGGTCTATTGAGAGAAGAGCAGGGGAGGTGGATGGAGCCTCGGGCAAATGCGGCCACGAAATGCTGTGGGAAGACAGAAGTTGCTGACAGAGGCAGAGAGTCAGGTGAAAGAAGCGGGAAGAAGCTGAAGGGACATGATTTTCACAATTGGAAAGAAGGGGGAAATAGCACTTCACGTGGTCAAAGCATGTACTTACCTGAACCCTTTTAGCTTTCAGCGTTTACTTCTGGAACGAGAATCTTACCCCCTCGTACAGTTTCTGAGAACATTTGCCTGTGTTTTGATTTTAGGATCATTATGATTGGGGACTTCGTGCTGTTAAATCTGTCTTGGTTGTCGCTGGCTCCCTGAAACGAGGAGATAAAAATAGACCCGAAGATCAGGTGATGCAATGCCAATGTGATTCTGTGGAGTGCGTAGCCAAATGGCTTCATACAATGACAGGGTGTCCCTGGGTGGTGGGTCACGCATAGCACGACCTTTAAAAACATAGCATGTATTTTTAATGGAGGACATTTCGAGGACTGGCATTTCTGATGTTATAATAAAGATCACAGGTATTCTTGACTAAAGGATGGGAGTGTAGGAAAGAAAATGTGATTGTATAAGTGCTTTTGAAATGTCAGCTACAAATAATATTTTGGCGGTCATAATCAAATATTCTAGTAATCGCTGTTTGATGTCCTCTGAGGAACATTTAGAAAATCTGATTAATCCCGGGGTATTAATCCTGAAAAAGTCAGTAAAGACATAATCTAATGGGAGAAGGTATGTCCATTTCATAGGATACAAGATGGACGTGAAGAATGGAGCAGGAAGGTTGATCCCCTGACATCAGGGCAATGCTTCGTTGGTTATTCGGAGCTGCTAGGGCATTGTCTCTCCCAGGAAGAAACAATTACAGCCACATATCCATTTTTCTGTATTAAATAAGAAGTGAGATCATGGATATTCAGCACTCTGTATACTTACAGTAAATGAGAAGTTGAAAAAGTAGATCTATCCTATGAGGTTTTATTTTTTTTTAATGTGAAAGGATATTTATGATGTGATTTTTCTACATTCTTTTTTTCAATCTCTCTCTTCTCTCAGTCACAGTTCATGATGGGGTTAGGATTTTCTTGCCTTTATTCTCTTGCTATGCTATTGTTGTTAAAATGCTTGCCTCTTTCTGTACAAATCATCCCGATGTTCAAGTTAACTGCTTTGAAAATCGAAATCCCTTTTTGGTTTTCAACAAGTACAGAACAAAAGCCCAAACTGAAAATGGCTGAGTTTATTCTTCTGGGCTTCTCTGAGCACTTTGAGGAAAATGATCTGATGGGCCTGATTCATTTATATGCTGGAGTTTGAGAGTTAAGGAGAGAAGGGCCCAGGCCCTTTCTCAGGATCAGAGCAGATCACTGGTAGGGATGGAACAGAGCCTCCTTGATGACTGTTGTCGGAGGTTGTCCACAGTATCGGCAGAGGCTTCTCATGTTCTGACATGTGACCTTGCAGCAACAACATCTTTAGCTGTAGGTGTTTGTTAGACATTGCATTGGATTCTTAAATAAAGTGTCTTCTATTCTCTTTTCTAGGTCCTCATGAGAGCATTAAGGGACTTCAATATGCCTAAAATAGTGACCGACGACATCCCCGTGTTTCTGGGCCTGGTTGGCGACCTGTTTCCAGCCCTGGACGTGCCCCGGAGGAGGGCGCCGCACTTGGAGCAGATGGTCAGGCAGTCCACCCTGGAGCTCCACCTGCAGCCCGAGGAGAGCTTCATCCTCAAAGTACAGGAGCCTTTCCTTGTCCTGGAGCCCCTGAGATGTGTGGTGACAACCCCGTGGTTAAGTGACACTGAACCAAGACTTCGATTTACATGTTACACTAACCTCAATATGACCTTACCATACACTGCAAGGCATTCTAATATGGCAATCTTTACTAAAATGAATATAACTAGTTTGTCATCCGGCCTCTAAGAAGATGAAAACACACATATGATTAAGTCTTGGTTTTAAATGTAAGCATGCTTTTTATTCATTTATAAAAGTACTTGCTCCTTCTTGGTGGCATGCATCAAAAATCAATTTTGCTCTTTTCTCTCCAGTTTAGAGAAAATTGGGTACATGTTTTAATGGGAAGATATTTCTACATGTATGACACCCTCTGACTTATTAAAGGCATGTGCATGTGTGTGCTCAAGTTGGGTATAGTGAGTACATGGATGTTAAAATACATAGAGTGTCTGTTTTAGATGTTTTACTAGTAGAGCAGGGGTGGGGAACATCAGACCCACAGGCCGTATAAGGCTCTAGAAATCATTTGGTCTGGCCCTGCCAAGGCATTAGGGGTGAGGTTGACCAAATATAGCAGGCTGATTTTCAAGTTAATAATTTTGTATGGCCCGTGAATGATGTTATAAATATCCAGATGGTTACTTATAAGGTTCCACACCCCTGCTTTAAAGGATATAAGTCATTACTCAGAGGCAGATGATGATTGGCCGGGCACCGTTTTGTTCAGGATCATGAAGTCACTGAGTTTGTAAGCAGCCCCTGCCATGTCCCAGCCCCACTGTACTTCCCTCTGCCTGTGTCAGGGATTCACTGAGCAGCGGTGTTCCAACGGAGAAATAATACAGTCATTAATAACAATTAATACAAGAATAAACTCTGTGTTTTGTGTACTCATAGCTGTAAACCTACTTTTGCCCCAGCCTGTATAATGTTGTCAGTGGGGACTGGCTTCGATTGTAAGGAAAGAATTGGGTAAAAATGGGTAGTTTTTGTTTGTTTTTAACCACAAACTCCTGGAAGGAAACCAGTGATGGCTGTTTGGTCCGCAGGTGGTCCAGCTGGAGGAGCTGTTGGCCGTGCGGCACTCCGTCTTCGTGGTTGGAAATGCAGGCACGGGGAAGAGTCAGGTAGAGTGAGCTGCCTGTGCGCTTTCAGCCTTGGGAAGAACACTTTTTTTGGGGGGGGGGAGGGCTCTTTTCAGTTCTACTTAGGGGTTCCCTTCAGTGAAGTCCACCATAATGAGAGATAATCTGAGACTCTAATACTGTTCTTTGACCAATGGACACTGTTTTCCTCTGTATTGGAGACTGGGAGAGTAACAAATAGAACATCACGTGAGCTATTTAGCATCTTCTTCACTCATTTATATGTGCGGCATTCTATTTTATGCATCTTTCAATAATGGAATTCTGCCTGAATTTTTTTATTCCAAGTTAACATGTTGAGAGACTCGCGAGTAAGATACCTACCTGCCTTGCAGGGTTCGATTGGCCCCACCTACATTTATCAGAACTATTTTGTCATCTTTTCCAAGTTATAATAGGTTCTCCTTAATGTCATTAAGAAAACCCAAACATTTTTCATTAATACTCTCTCAGAATATAGAACTCTAGAGGGCCAGAAAAAAACTTGGAAAAAGGGAGGCAGCAGAAACCACATTTTTGAGGTACTTGTTATGCACAGTTTGAGGTGCTGATTCGGTGTATTACCTGTGATTTCCTCTGAGCAATGAGGATATGCCATGGGTATTGTAATTCCCATTTTTAGTTCACTGCTTGATTTTGCTTGGTCTTTACTGACAGTCCTGGTAACTTATTTTTTTAGTTGGTAGACAGTATATGCAGAAATGCATGCATTTTTAATTTAGGGTGCTTGAGTATAAATACATTTAGTAGCCAATGACTAAGATAATCAGAGTGGGCATATGAGACTGAGCATGGGTGGATAGAGACCTTGCCAGTATTAGGATCTGAACCCAGAATGGAACAGTTGTAAAGGGAGGCCCTGTATAGGGATCTTTCCAGTGAAAAATGTAGTAATTGAAATATTAAAGTTGATATCTGAAAGGCCTGTAATTATTTTATTAGAATAAGTTTCAGATGCTGACTATGGCTTAAGGAAGGAAAAATTAAATTATATGATTTTCAGTAGATTAATGGTTTCTAAAAATGTCAGCTTACTATTCCTAAGACATTCAGTTGCTTTCATCTATTCTTCACGAATTCTCTTCTCTTCAGCCTTTACTTAAGCTGATGTAACTAGAGCACCCAAGCTCAGGGACCATGTTATTTAACACCTCATTATTCCCAAGTATTTGGCAGTTGTCTGCCAGTCCTTCAAACCTCTGTGAGAAGATCAGGAGGATAAACATCTAAAAGAAAACCCATGGCTTTTTGGAGAAATCAAAAAGGGTAGTTGGGGCAGATATTTGGGTGAAGGTGTCAATGAATTAAACAGACACACAGTGAGCACCTATCCTGCATTTCTCATCCTCAAGGCTTCTCTTCCTCACGATCTAGATCAGGGTTTCTCAGCAGCAGCACCGCTGACATTCAGGAGCAGCTCACCCTTTGTCGTAGGGCCTGCCCTGTGCATTGCAGGATGGTCAGCAGCACCTGTGGCCTCTGACCACTACCTGCCCAGTAACACGCCCTCTTCCCTTAAGTCAAGACAACCTGCTGTTGAGAATTATTGCTCCAGATTCTAGATCTCAAAGCACACCCAGACCAGCATCATAGGGATCGCCTGGGACCTTCTAAGAAATGCCACTCACCAGTCCCACCCCAGACCTATAGAATCTGAAACTCGTGATTGGGTCCAGCGGTCTGTGTTTAAACACCCTCTAAGCCAAGCATGTCAAGCTCAAAGGCTAACACGGGCCAAATAAATGAGGCATGTGGCCCGCTGGCTGCGAGTTTGACATGCTTGCTCTAAGCGATTCTGATGCAAGCTCAATTTTGAGCACAATCTAAATAGTACAGGCAGAGTGGATTTTAATAGCATGAAGAGGAACACTTGCTTACATAAATAGTCCTTCACTTTGCACGTGTGGTTAAAAATCTCACATGATAGAGTGACTTTCTCTAGTCTACGTTGTTCAGGGAATCAGTGAACTGATCCTGAGGATGGCAGGATTAAATTGTTCAAGATGGTAATGAAATGTGCGCATGTAAATTTTCTTCCTCTCTCAGTCATAGTACACGTAGAACATCTAGGAACATAATGAATACGGAACATCATCTGAAATCTTTTGCTTTCCATTTGGCTTACATTAATATTAATTTTCTTAGCTTTTTTTTCTTCCTTCTTCCCTTCAGATTTTGAGAACACTGTACCGAACATATGTTAACATGAAACAGAAACCCATTTGGAATGACTTAAACCCTAAAGCTGTGACAACAGATGAACTCTTTGGTTTCATACATCACACTACCCGTGAATGGAAAGATGGCAAGTAGTGTTTCCCCTTCTGAAGTGCTAAAAATTTCTCATTTCTATCCAGAAAGCCATTTTTCAGTTCAAGTCAATTTTAGTCATAGTTGTAGATTTACTGTTTATGTGTCTGCATTACCGGAGATAGAGCAGCATTTATAACCTGTAAATTAAAGCTGGATTTGAATAAGGGGTCGGTTTGCATTCCGCAGGGTTGTGCTCAGAGCTGTGTATTTTATCCCACCTCAGTTAAGTCAGGGCTCATGTAAACCAGGAAAGAAGTCAACTCAAATGCCTCAGGGAATGTCTATAAAGTACCTGATGCAAGACACCGACTGAGTTACAGGCAGGCACTGTGCTGGGTGCCAGGGACAGAATTCAATGATGTATTTCTTGCCTTGAAAGCATTTGCAGGCAAACAGACCCCTTTGGTAAAATCTGTTATTATTACTTCTCATTTGTTTAAATGCACTGTCCTTGGCATCATCCTTGGGTCTTTTCTCCCTTTCACACCCTGCCTTCAGCTTTACAGCAAATCCTACAGGCATATAAAATACACAGTCTATTCCAGTACTTTCTCCTCCTCTGCAGCTACCACATGAGTCCAGCCAGTCTCCCTGCAGTTCATTTTCCATACAGCAGACAGAGGGCGCTCTTCAGGATGTTAGCTCTCTATTGGCCATTTCCAGTGGGTTCCATCATCCTTAGATTCCAACCTTTATCCATGGCCTACACAGTTCTTATGGGATGAGATCCTCCTTCCCCATCTCTGACCTCATTTCCTGCGCATGCCCGTAACCTACGATATATGACCCATAAACCTTGGCCTCCTTGCTCTTCCTGGAACACGCCAAGCATCTTCTCATCAAGGGGCCTTTACGCTTGAAGTTCCCACCGTCTGCAACACTAACAGTATCTGCACAGCCTCCTCCCTTAGGTTATTGAAATGTCCGGCCAAGCGTCACTTCAGAGAAGACTTTCTTGGCGACTCTGTGTATAGAAGCCTGTCTTGTCATTCTCTGTCCTTTTCTTATGTGGAAAATGAAATGAAACCGGCCTTTGGTCTAGACAGCCTAGGTATGGCTCAAAACGTATTACGCACTGCCCTCCGGAGAGAGGCAGCACATTCACAGCAAATTTATTTACTTCATGAACGAGCTTCTACTGGGAGAAATACAGTTTTATTTTGGAAACAAACAGCACTCAACTCCATTATACATAGCATGTTAAGATTGTTCACTCTTCATTTATAGGTCTCTTCTCATCTATTCTGCGAGAACAAGCAAATCTTACACAGGATGGACCAAAATGGATAGTCCTGGACGGAGATATTGATCCCATGTGGATTGAATCACTAAATACTGTCATGGATGATAACAAGGTGGGTAATACCTCAGTGCTAAACTTTAAACATGACACCTCCATTGAATTCCATTCACTTGTGGATTTTAGTACTCGCTTTTAATCATGAGCCTGATGTTCTTTACGTAGTTACTCTTTTGATAAGTGCCACTTTCCTGCTAATTCTCTTCACTGGTAAAGAATTTAAGTGAATACATTTTTCTTGCCTGTATAAATTTAAACATCTTTATAAGGAGATACGTATTCAAGAATGTAGCTCATACACATTTTACCATTTTCAAAGAGCCAGGCATAAATTATTACATGTTATCTTTGATTAAGGATGGAATGCGTGGGTTGTAAGGGACAAGTTGGAAATTAAGTAGTTCCTATGGCTACTGACTGAATATAAATGCATTCCTAAGCGTTTGCCATGGTTAATCCAGCATTCCCAGCAAAACCAAAGGGTGATGGCATCGGTCTGTGAGATACTACTTAAGCAACACCAGATCTATCAGGAGAAAAAAAAATCAGAAATCATTAATACAGAATAGAATTAGTCACCCCCCCCTTAAATTAACAGTAATTACTGCTTCCTGAACTAAGACATTGTCTATCATAAAATATAGGTCTCAGATCTTCATACTTGCATGAGTTTCTATAGCAAATTGATAATTGTGGTATTTCAGACTCTAAAGATGATTTATTTTTGTGGAATTCGGGCCTTGTCATGTAATCAACACTTCGAACAAATGTCTTATATTTAGTAATAATTAACCACAGTTATTTAGAGTTGGCATCAATAAGTCCGTATTGGTAAGTTTGTTCCTCAAGGGTCAGTGAGCTCCCTCTGGAATGAACTGAGATCTTTAATTGAGATCTTTTTTCAGACTGTACGCACTTCTGTCTCCGGACAGTGAGCTCATAGCCTTTGGCACTGGGCAGGGGAAGTACTTTGTGCTGGGATGGAGAATTGGCAGGGCCCTTTTCTCCCGAGTGACAGGGCCTCCTTTGTGCTGTGCTGCTCTGTCCAGGTGCTGACCTTGGCCAGCAATGAGCGCGTAGCCCTTGCGCCCTCCATGAGGCTGCTCTTTGAGATCCATCACTTACGGACAGCAACCCCGGCCACTGTTTCCAGAGCTGGTGTTCTGTATGTGAACCCACAAGATTTGGGCTGGAATCCGTGAGTACTGCTTTTTTTTTTTTAAGATTGTGGTAAAACATACATAATATAAAATTTACCATTTTAACCATTTTTAAGTGTACAGTTCAGTGGCATTAAGTACACTCACTTTGCTGTACAACCACCACCACCGACCATCTCCTTGACTTTTTCTGTCTTCCCAAACTGAAGCCCCATATCCATTACAGGGGTGGGGAACGTTTTTCCTGCCAAAGGGCCATCTGGATACTTATCATTTACGGGCCACACAGAATTATCAACTTAAAAATTAGCCTGCTCTGTTTGGTCAAACATTTAACTAACTCACCCCTAATGCCCTGGCAGGGCCAGATCAAATGATTCTGTGGGCCTTTTGGGGATCAAGCTGTAACCCGGGCATATGCCCCGACCGGGAATGGAATCAGTGACCTCTTGCTTCCTGGGTTGACACTCAACTGCTGAGCCACACCCAGCCGGGCTGCTTCTATCCTTTGACTGTTGCAAATAATGTTTCTATGATCAGGGCATACAGATATCCCTTTGATCCCTACTTTTAATTATTCTGGATATACTGGTGTACCCACAAGTGGAACTAGGAGATCATTTGGGAGTTATAATTTTATTTTTAGAAGAGCTACCATACTGTTTTCCATGGTGGCTGTACCATTTTACATTCCCAACAGGGCACAAAGGCTCCAGTGTCTGCATGTCCTCGCCGAAACTTGTCATTTTCTCTATTTTTTATGGTAGCCATCCTAATGGGAATGAAGTGGTATCTCATTTCGGTTTTGATTTGCATTTTCATAATGATTACTCACGTTGAGCATCTTTTCATGTGCTTTTTGGCCATCTGTATGTTTTATTTGGAGAAATGACTATTTCAGTCCTTTACCTACTTTTAAATCTAGTTGTGTTTGGTTTTGTTGTTATGAACATTTCTCTTTTTAACCTTAGTTTTCAAAAGAGCTAAACATTTATATGATCATTTGAAGAAGGAATTAGTTATTAAATTTAAAGCTGCTTAATTAGACTCATTTAAAGATAACTAAGTTAGCACCTGGGTGCCTTTGTCATTTTCAGTTGGACATTATCCTCTTCACACCTTGTACATGTTAAGAAACCAGTATTTGTTGAAAAAGTGAATAAATAACAAGAGCTCCTATGGAGCGCTTAGATATAAATATATCACTTAGTGAGCATATGTGTGTTTGTGTGTACACATATGTGCATCCATGAGCTGTGGCAATGCTTTTTTTTAAGATTTTTTTTAAGATTTAGAACAAGCTCATTGTGCTACTTGCTTACTCTTCACATGCTCTCGGTTCCCATGGTCCATCCTGGTGGTCACCTGTCGCCTCCTTTAGCACTCGCACTGTGCTGTGCAGTGTCTGAGCTCTGCAAGCGAGCAGGTGCTGAGGCTGGCGTGTTTCCGTGTCTGGCTCTTCTGTGCCCCTCCACCGTGCTTCGTGCCCACAGGCCATCCTGTGTGGGCCACACCAATGGGCTCCTGGCCCTGTGGCCTCTGGTTGCTTTGGCCAGTGAGGAGCCTGGCAGGAAATGAGAAGGAGAGGAGATGAGGTCATGCTATTTATTCTCCTGGCTCCCTCCCCACAGGGTCACATCAGGATGGCTGTGTCCCTCAACTGCAGGTCACAGCTCCTCTTAGCTCTCTCCCTAAGATTCTTTCCTTCCAGGCGCTCGTAGTCCGTCAGTCTTGTCCTTGCAGGCGTAGGTGCCATGATCATTCCACAGTTCACCCCCTGGCATGGCTGAAAGTATCCTTTTGGCTTTGTCTTCCTAATCCTCTCCCTGCATTGGCTGAGCTTGTCATCTTCTACCCTCGTAACCCCATCCTTTCATTTGGGGGCGCTGCATACCCATAAACATAAAGATTCAGAAATACATAACCGACATACACTGCTGATCAGCAGTGTCCTTGGAACTTCTGACATTTGTCCAGGCCACTGAGAATGACAGAGAACCTGACGCTGGTTCTTAGGAGCCAATTGTAGAGAGCTCTGATGACTTCCTGCTGTGTCCGCTACGACAGATTCCAACCTCGACTATTGACCACATACAAAAGGCTAATTTTTAAGTTGAGAATTTTGTATGGCCTGAGAATGATGTTACAAATATCCAGATGGCCGTTGGCAGGAAAAGGGCATGCCAACCCTGCAACAGTCCCCGCCCCTTCCCCATCAACAATAAGCTCTGGACACTCAGATTCCACTCTGGCAGCTGGTGCAGTAGGATGAGCAGCTGAGGGTAGGTGTGGCCTTCCGGCCTCGGTCCCAGTAGCTAGCACCTGTTGTACATTGTTTCCTTGTCCCGTGCTGCCCACTGTCGCCGTCACCCAGATATGCTCTCTCAGGTTACCATCATGAACCGGACTTCAGCTGAAACCATTCCTCTTGGACCTGAAAGAGTTTGACAGTTCATATTTTGTAAATCTAATAAGAGTGTAAGGGTAGTTAAATATTTAATAAAACCCTATTATGAAACCGTGTGAAAATCAAAGGGAGCCTTTTATAAGCTAATCATCTTGCCTTCGTTTCTTCTGATACTGAAAATGTGAACTCGGACTTGCTTAAAGCAAGGTATAGTGGTAATTGCTGTGGTCTCACGACTTCTCCGCGGGCAGCTGAATGTATTTATTATCGCTGCTTTTTATTGAATGAGAATTTTTTGAGCAGTTATTTTTCATTTAACATCATACAGTTTCTCCCCAGGGACTACTGTGGATGCTACAGAGCCATGCTTCGTTTCATTCATAAGTATTATTTTATGAAGAAGTTAGAGATACTGTATCAAAATTGATAATATATAAGTTTCAGATAAAAAAGCATGTACCCAAGAATGAGATACCAATTCAGAGCCAGGTATTGGAAACACATTATCAGCCATTAATCCAGTGGAAAAAGGGGCACTTTGAAATAGCCTTATATGGAATTTTCAACTTTTTATTTCTAACTGATTTTTTATTACTAAACTAGAGGCCCGGTGCACGAATTCATGCACAGGTGGGGTCCGGCTGGCCCACCCCGATGGGGGCCATCGGGGCCAGGCCAGCAAGGGGGAGGGGACGCAGGAGGTTGGCCAGCCAGCCCCACCCCTGATCGGGGCAGGGGTGCCCATAGGGCTGGTTGGCCAACACAGTGCATGTCATCACGACTGGTCGTTCTGTTGTTCTGTCGTTCTGGTGACTTGGCTTTTATATATATAGATAATCGATGCCAAGATTAATCTAGAAAAATCCTAAGCTGTTTTCATAAATACAGCCCACCCTATGTGGAAGTTTCAGTCCTCTAAATATTTTAAAGGGTCATTTTAAAATATTTGCAGCTTCAGAAGTAGAATGAGCTCACTACACGTGTCCCTGAAATGCTGCACCACGCTGTGTGGAGGGGGCGCTTTTGAGCCGGAGAAGTTCTGCTTCCCAAGCCCAGGGTTCGGGAAACGCTTTGCTGTGTTCTTCCTCAGGTACGTGGCCAGCTGGATCGACAGAAGGCAGCATCAATCAGAAAAGGCCAACTTAACGATTCTTTTTGATAAGTACGTGCCTGCGTGCCTGGATAAGCTGAGGACGAGCTTCAGAACCATCACCTCCGTTCCCGAGAGCAGCCTGGTGCAGGTGTGCCTTCCGTTACGTTGTGTGCCGTCCTAGTCCTGGGGCGGGAGTGGGCTGATCAAGGCCACAGGAGGGTTTGCTCTTTCTAGAAGATGGAGAGCTTTCTGGAGCCGAGGTTTCTCCAACCCCTCGTTCTCTAGCCCCCATGTTCCCCAGGGCTTTTTTGCAAACCCCCGTCACACACCTGTCACCTTCTATTATTGTTCGGGTTTGTAGCCTCTTTCATAAGATTGTGAACTAGAGAGCTGAAGCCACCTTTTACTTACTTTTATATCTCCAAAGGTTTACATAGTGACTAGCATACAGCAGATGCTGACTATGTCTGTATTGAATCATGAATTCCTCCCAAGTATATTTGCATAAACTATGAAGATCAAAGTGGTAACAGCCTTATTTCTTTTTCTCTAAGTAACTGGCCCAGAAAAGGTGTTCAGTATTTTTTTTTAAGTGCAAAATATCCCTGTAATTAAAGATGCTGACCACCGAGAGAGAGAAAGCTTCTGGCCTCTACCCCATGGGTGTCATTACCCACTGGCCTACCACCTCCCCTCTCCTTCTTTTCTCCCCTCCCCTCCCCAAAACATTCCTAAAGGCAGCTCACTCTAGATGAGAGGCCATTATTCCCGGGGTAATTTTTTTAAATACTCGTGAGACGGCTGGTAAGAGTGAAGGGCATGATACGTTGTCATGGAAGCAAATAGAAATAATTCACAGTACACAGAAATGAAGGCTGTGATCTGAGTCTCAGCATGAGGAACGACCGCCTGCCTTTTATAACTATAAAACTTCACAAAGGATTGATAATTAGAAACCTTTTTTTTTTGCCTTATAGGAGCAAAATTGTTTTCAAAGTACTTTGTTACCATTAACTTACTATGTTACCAAATTTGTTTGAAGCTAAATGAGAAAAAGTCAGCAGCATAATAAGAAGAGAAAGTTGAGGTTTTGGGATAATTCACACACCAATTAAGTAAAGGCTAGTCTTCGCCGGTAATTATCTGAGGTGTAATTTGTTTCTGGAGGCAGGTCTGCATTCATTCATAATTAATTATGCGGGCAGCCTAATTGGACTTCCTCTGGTGTCATACTTGTAAGAAACCTGGTTGTGTTCTTTCTCGGGTCGGCTTGTGTATCTGTGTGATTCTCTGTGGTGTGATCCTGTTCATTCAAGAGTCGTGTGAAAATAGGCCGTAGGAATTAATATGACTTTTGCTCTCGCTTCCTCCTCTTGTAGTATTCAGAAATGGCATTTTCTCCTCAGCTCCTTTTTAGCTGTTTTATACTATAGTCTCTTTTCTGTGATGAATTATAAGGACAGGGATTTGAAACAAAAATGGGCATCAAAGAGAATAGCGTAAAGTGACTACTTTAAGACATGAATGTATTGTGTTTCCTGGCACACGGAACTTCTTTGCTTTAAGTTCAGTAAGGTGTAGTAACTCAGATTATGCACTGAAGTATGACTTTATTCATTGCTGACACAGAGCTCAAAATATGTTCTAAGTACTGTGTTTGGGAGAAAATGAAAAAAAAAACACCTAAGTTATTAGAGTGTTCGGATCAAAGGATCACTTAACATTGAGACCTTCCAGTCTTTTTGTTACGATTTGAACAGTTCCTTCGACCAGCATGGCTTCCACTCAGAAATAGCAAAGCCTCCGTGCTGAACATTATTTTTCTTGATAACAAATCGGTGAGTTTTCTTCTAGGAGAAAAAAAAAAGATTTTAAATTGGCAAACATAACACAATATAAAATGCTGGCAATCAAGAGAGAAGATGGAAAAATAGAACAGGCAGTTACCTATTAAAATTAAAAGCCTTTCCCAGCTATTTCCAGGATCCTTGCTCCACGTCACCCTGGCTTTTCGCCACCGTTCAGGGCTGGGAGGGAAGGCAGGCCTCCCTGGCTGTGTGAAAGCGTGTGTTGCTGTGCACATGGAAGTGACAGGAACCTGTTGCTGTCTCCAACAGCCAGGGGCAGGGGGTCAAGAGTTTGGAGGGTCTGTGACGAAGCTAATTCATGACAACTGTTTTGTGCTATAGAGAACTAGGTCAAAACCACAGTGATTACTGGTTATTATTTCCTGTGGGAACGGCCTTTGCAGCAGCCACGCCCCCTTCATTACTGACCTGATACCCTGACCATGGGGTGTGTTTCACCCCAGCAGAGCACATTGGGGTTCCCCTGGAGGGTATGGAGAACAAGTTCCTGAACAGCACTTCATCCAAGACTAAATTTAGTCTGATGTCCGACAAAATGCCACAGGCCGAGGCTGCCAGTCGACTTTCTAAATTTATGACAACAGGTGGGAAGACGGCTGCGGAAGCACTAGGGGAAAGCGGGGTATCTAGATGTGCAGCAGGAGGGAGACAGTTCAGGAAGCCCTCCCACCAGTGACCTTCATTCATTCATTCATTCCTGATGATGTAGGAAGTTAGGGCTGTAGAATACTCTGTGTGGTCTGACTCTCTATTTATAAAAAGGAGATCATATATATATATATATATATATATATACACACACACACACACACACACACACACACACACACATATATATTCCCCATTATCATTATTTTTTTTGCTTATATGTATTCCCATTTGTTACAGTGATTATTAATTGGGTAATTCAAGAATTTAATTTTTCAATCGTTTATTACGTAGAAGATCAGTTTGATTGAAAGTGGCAAAGGTGTTCCACCATCGATGCAGAAACGCGAGGCAGTCATTCTTGTCTCTCAATGTACAAATCACAGAGTTGGGAACAGTCGTGCACTCTCTTCAGGATGAAGTGGATTTGTTAATGTCTTGTGAACGTACTCCACGGTTGGAAAAATATGCTGCCCTAAATGAATGGCTGTTTCTTGGTCTTTAGACGATTTGTGCTCTTCTGGAATGTTTGTTGACTCCGGAAAACGTACCTTCCGACAGCCCCAAAGACGTGTACGAAGTCTATTTTGTCTTCGCTTGTGTCTGGGCCTTCGGAGGTGCCCTGCTGCAAGACCAGGTGTGTCTACAACTGGGAGGGGTTGTTACCACGTGTGACCCCTGTGCTCTTGTTATGTGACATATGTCTGTCCTCCTTGCCCCGCTCTCCCCTAAGCCGGGACACTGTCCAGGAGAACACATCCAGGCTGTTGATTCTGACCTTGGCTGACAAAGCCAGATCCATAGCCTCCCACCGGATCGCCCTCCGGAGCTCAAGGCTGTGTGCACCTGCCCCTGGAGCCAGGCCACAGTGTGCCCGAGACGGCTCTACACCTGCCCACCCCCACCCCCAATTGGTTCTTCCTCTTTGTTCTTTCTTTCCCTAAGCGACTCTCAACATTCCTGCCAGCCGCTCCAGTTTAAAACCTGGGGGACATTACTCTTCCTTATTCCTTATTTGTATGTCTGAGGGTCACCAGATCCTTTCAGTGTCAGTTACAACATAGCCGTGGAGTCCGTTCCCTCTTCTCCATCCCTGTGGCCTTAATTGAAGAGCACAACATATTGAAATTGTCCTGGGCTTAGCTTGGGCTTCAACAGGTGCCCCGGAATCTCGGCCTTAACCCTTTGCACTCCGAACCATTCTGGACATTGGCTACCAGCTATTCGACGCTACTTTGCGGCGGAAACGTGCATTTACAGACCCTCGTATTATTTAGTATAATTTTGGAACCAAGTAACGTATTATAATGGATATTGGACTTATATGAATTATGTGACATCGAGGAATGTATATTTGCAAAAGAAAACAATATTTTATTGTTTATAATTTTGTACAGTATGATAAGTTTTGTAACACTCCCCAATATGCATTGCAGGCTGATTAGTGCATGTTTGACAGTAATAAGTGGTTTGACGCCTGCCACCAGGTGTTTTCCTGTTAGAACACATAATGCAGTCCCATTTTCTTTGTCCCACATCGGGAATATGTAGTTTATTGTTTAATCCGACACAAAACCCGCTGACATTTCTTGTATACATCTTAGTAATTTTACGATATTTTGATTTAATTTCTTGTGCCATTTCAAGATAAAACTTCAGGAAAACATGCATGTCTCAAAAAGTTGCGTTGAAATAACTCAATTCCCCGTAATCACTAATAAACTGCAATGTCCCCTGAGAGGGGACATCCGAGTGATATGCTAGAATTCCGATGTCCCCTGAGAGGGGACAGCGGAGTGCAAAGGGTTAAAAATAGATGGCACACATCTTCCAGGCTTTCCCAGATGTTTGCAGATGTAAGCAGGGAGTTTCAGTCGGAAGGCGTCACGGCCAAGAGTGACCCATGTTTCTGTTGGTTTATTCACTCTAGGCCATAACAAACATGGTTGCTATCACCTGTGGCCCAGTCCGGCTTCTCATCACTAGATTACCACAAATCATGTCTATAAATAACTGATATTCGCTTGGCCTCCTAGGTCTTAGTCTGACCCTTCTCAGAAGCCACGTTTCCTCCCATAATCTCCAAGTGCTCTTTAAAGAAGAACAGCCCTTGGCTTTGAGTGAGAGTTTCAAGGATGGGTGTTGTATGTTTTCACATGGTTTTTCTCAGAAGCACAATTTATAATGGCTGTGGGTTTCTTCTGCATGGAGACCTTGTGTAGACTTTCTCCCTCTCCTCAAGGCCCCATGGCTTTTTATCAGTGCTTTCCACAGGTTTTCCTTTTCCCAAAACTGGGAGCCCAGGGGAAATTGCATGAGTAGGATGTTGACAGCTGAGATCTTTGGGCTGCAGACCCTACAGCTCACCTTCCTCCCAGATAGTCCTCTTTTGGAAATTTTTCCAATTTCCGAACGTGGCAGCCTTCAAGCTAGAAGCTGGGACCACCATGGTCATCGTGCTCTCCCAGACACTTTCTTCCTTATTAGTCGTCGTCATCATCATCTTTAAATTTTCCAAAGGGACCTAACTATGAAGCATTCCAAAGAGAGGTTTTGAAGTTGGAAATATGAATGAAACAGACACAAAAATATTCTTAGGATAGCCACCTATTAGTTCAACAAATTGGAGTGCCTACTTTCTGCAAGGCACGTGCTTAGGGCTTCTAATAAGCTATCTCATTGACACTTAGAAGACAAACCTATATGTACAGGTACAGCTGTCCTCTTTCTCCTTTTACAAAAAGAAACAGAAACTTAGACAAGTTAGCCTGCTTGAGGACACACAACTAACTAATATCCAAGGTTCAGACTGCAAAGGAAGGACTCAGGACTCCTGTTCTTAACCCCGGCCATAGCAGACAGCTTCCAAAATAGGCCTGACGTCAGCTCTCCCCAGGCTTCTAGCAACTGCCATCCTCATTTCTCACTTAGCTTCCGAAGTAACCTTGTCACTGGTCTTTCTGCCTCTGTGCTTGCCCATAATCCATTATCCACTCGGCAGCCAGAGTAACTTTTTAAAATGTGAACTGAATTATATGATATGCTCTACCATTAACACTTTAATGGATTTCTATTGCTTTCCCACCTTTTTAAAATTTTTCAATTATAGTTTACTTTTAATATTAGTTTGTACTGGTTTCAGGTGTATAGCATAGTGCTTAGGCAATCATATACTTTACACAGTGTTCCCCCTGATGTTTCCAGTATCCACCTGGTACCATACATAGTTATTGCAATATTATTGACTATATTCCCTATGCTGTACTTTACATCCTGTGACTATTTTGGAACTACCGATTTGGATTTCTATTTCTTTTAAGATCAAGTTAAAATTTTTAATACTATGTATGAGGCCTCCGGATCTGGCCCTGCCTACCCCTTCCTCCTCCTCCCTCTGCCACTCCCTTCCCCGCAGCTGCACTAGCCAGTGTCTTGAGCACAACAGGTTCTTTCAAAGCACAAGCTCTCTGCACACGCCGACCTCTTCCTGGTGCCCGGAGCAGCATTCTCCCGAATCTGTGCCTGTCCTCAACGATGGCTGCTCTGAGCATCCAGTTAAAATAGATACACCCCATTATTATCACTTACAGCAAACTTCACTTTCAAGATGTCTAACTTATTTATTTCTGCATTTATCGGCTTAACCTCTGCCACCACCATGTTTACCAGTTTTATAAAGTGTTCCTTTGTTCTTCATTTTCTCATTTGCCATCCATTGATGTGAATACTTAATCATTTCTTTAAAGAGATCAGCACCAATGTTTGATAACCACTGCCTTATGGTAGGTAGCATGGTAATGTGTAGAGAGTAGCTCCTCGTTCAGTTGAATAACCCGGGGGCAATTTAAAGTTCACCTAACCTTACCTTGCTTTTTAAGTTAATAATTATTCCAGAAAATTTGTACCTGATGGAAGTACAGATTTCTGCCTTTGATAGTGTCACTCTTCATAACTTACTTGTAGTTATTTCTTTTCCTTGGGTCAGTTACTCAGTCCCATTGATAATTAAGACTCTGTACTTTGCAAACACTGTGTGCTTGCAGGATTTGGAGGGGCCTTGTGTGTGTGCAGAACTAGCTGTAAGTCTGCAAGAAGGATTCCTCTTGTTCTCCTTAGCTTTCTGGTCATCAAGCTGAATTCAGTCGGTGGTGGCACAAAGAGATGAAAGCAGTGAAGTTTCCATCTCAGGGAACAATCTTCGATTATTACCTGGACCACAATACTAAGAAATTTTTGCCTTGGACGGACAAAATCCCCACATTTACTATGGATCCAGATGTCCCTCTGCAGGTAGGGTGCGGAATGTAGGCACGTTCACGCTATCCATATTTGCTGAGCTGAGGGGGAAGTGTCTCTATTATAGAAACAGTGAAGTGGCTATTATATTTCTGCAACCTCTTTATAAAAATTTCAACTTATTTCTGTGGTAATTGCTTTCTCTATATTTTCCTAGAAACTTTGTGGCTTCTGTTAAAAATTGGAGGCATATTTCTGTAGTTCAGTGGATTCTTATTTCTGACCTTATAGTAAAATTTTTAGATAGCACTTTTATATTTAACTTCTTTCCTTTAACCCTCCCCCCCAAAAAGCCATAAAATGAATATTTAATCTCCTCAACCTGAGCTGTAAATTCACACAGCAGCAGACAAACCTAAATAGAACTTTCTTATTGTTTCTCTTCATAAACTGTTCTTCTACGTTTCTTTTATGTCCAGTTATTTTTCAGTCGTATTCTAATTCTGCCACTGTTTCCTCCAAACTGTCTCCCACAACACTTCACTCCTTTCGTATGGATTGTGTCTAGCTATTTGATCACTTAACCTTACTGGGCCAAAGCCCTGCTGCCAATTTTCACTTCCGTATGGCTTGACTTTTCAAATGTTTTGTCAGCAACTAAAGGGTGGTGGACAGTCTCTTAAACTTTTACTGTATTCCCTTGTATGTCTAACACAGGGTTGGGTGGAGGTTAGGTAATTCTATAATGGAGAGCCTTGGGTGCTAGTACTTACATTGGAAAATATAAATCAGTTGCTCTCTCAAGCAATGATGTCTAAACTCTGACAATTCAAAACAGAAAGTAGGTGGGATCTCTCCCACTGGGGTTAACGTGAACTAAGAATCCATTGGACCTCAATTCTAAAGTGACTATGGTGGTTCAGATTTAAAATTTTGGAGTGTCTCTCTCTGACCCCTCTCTCATTCTGTCTTTTCCCTGCAGAGAGTTCTGGTTCACACACCAGAGACAACTCGTCTCAGATATTTCACGGAGTTATTGCTTGAGAAAGGACAACCGCTAATGCTGGTAGGATATGCCGGCGTGGGAAAAACGGTCTTCGTTGGGGACACGCTGGCGAGTCTCTCTGAGGATTACGTGGTGTCCCGCGTGCCTTTCAACTACCACACAACGTCTGCAGCTCTACAGAGTAAGTGTTCCTCTTGTCTACCTTCCAGGGACAAGAGATCAGAAACAGTCAAGCCCATGACATGCAACCCAGGGAGGTGGTGGCTTTCTCTAGGCTTTAGACATTTTCTTAGGCCTCAGAGGAATTTTTACTTATCACCATTCTGGGTAAATCTACTTTGTTCAGATATTGTGATTTTGGCTTTTCTTATCACTCATGGCTTTATTGGGGTTATTACTCTGAGGACAGCATGACATCCCTCATGTTCATTGATTTACCTCTCAACTGTTGGGTTTCCTTTAGTCAGTTTATGGGGCCTGACCACTCTGAGGGTATGCACCCAAGGAGCGATGCTCTGGTTACCTTTTCAAGTAAGAGATTGATTTAGGAGAAAATCATTCAGACTGTGTTGATGAAATGACAGGCCATGAGCTGTTAATTAAATCCCAGGAGAACTATAAGAAGAAATTTAGACTGTTGAATAAATGTGTCAATATAATCAAAAGAACCACGCAGATTTGGGGCATTCTAAGTTAGGAAAGGCAAGCAAAGTAGACTTTGGAAGCAGAGGAGAAGTAGTAGAAAGGGCTGATATTAGTAAGTCTGTCACTTGGTTCAGGAGATTAATGGGGTTATATTGGGGGAGGGGACAGCAAAACTCACTGTTCAGTTGTTTATTAAACCTGCTGAGTTGCCCTGAATGTGGTTTCTGTGTTTGACAAATAATTAGATACCACATCCCAGGCACACACTCTTCAGGATTTCCTACACCCATACTTTTCTCTCAGATATATTGACACAAAGTCATACAGGCACATGAAGAAGTATAACTGGATGTATACACAGCAGAGTGTCTTCATGCAATAGCCTCTTGTACTTCTGCACTCCAATGGCCCGAGAGAGGTGTGGGGGACTCTTTGGAGCTGTCTCCGGACGCTCCTGCAAGGGTGATAGAGAAGGACTGAGAGACGAGGCTGCGCCATGCACTAGAGTGGGTGCAGGGGAGGAAGGTGCCCAGGTCAGCAACGGCGTTGTCTGCGACGCCCTGTGTGACATCAGGCTGTAGACGTTGACTGTCCAGGAAAGAACCGGCCGGATGAGTTCTGGCTACAGGAGGGAGGTTGACAGGAGAACTTGACATAGAAGGAGGTGACCAGAGGCACAGCTCTGGTATTAGCCTGCAGAGAGGTGATATTTGAAGCCAAAGAGGGGTTGAAATGGACAGAAATGAGAAAAAAAATAAAAAAGCACTAAGGACAGAAAATTACATCTTACCTGATTGGACAGAATTATATATTGGTTTCAGGAATTCTTGAGAAACCTCTAGAGAAAAAAGCCGGTCGCAACTATGGCCCAGGAGGAAATAAAAAATTGGTTTACTTTATCGACGACATGAATATGCCCGAAGTGGACTCGTATGGCACCGTTCAGCCCCACACTCTCATTCGACAGCACATTGATTACGGGCACTGGTAAATGATTCTCTGGGTTTTACTCTCTACTGAAGTCTCATTATTGTTACTGTAGATAAACATTTGCAAATGGAATACCCTGATGTCTTCCTCTTCTGAGGAGGAGCATTCCTGCAATACCTTTTGGGTTTCACTTTGCATCGTCTTTTCATCATCTTAAGTGGCACAGATTCCCTTTGTATCTTGGGAAGAGTTGAACTGAAAAGCATTCTAGTAACATAAGCTGTCTGGCTTACGCATCAGATTCTTTAATACGTTAATTCACACTAAATTGCTTAGAGAAGCGTGGCCTTGTTCTGTGTGATGTAACCATATAGTAATATCTGGTGCTGCAGTCTGAGACACCGTCCCTCCCTCCCATTAACTCGAGGGAGACCCCCAGCCTCACTGTGGGTATTTCTAACCAGAAATAGAGTCACCTGAGAATCAATAAGCAGCAAGAGCCTGTATTGATTCGGCTCCATATGTGGGTTCTGCCAACAAAGGAGCTGTGTCGCCTTCAGTTTTCCGAGAGTTTGTTTTCATGTCCCTGAGATGATGCTGACACGCTCAGCATCACAGAGCGATTGTAAAGATCAGAGGAGACAATTGGTGATGGAGTCTTGTCGGAACTGGTGGGTTTTGTTGGGCTGTCTGTCATCTCTAGTTTTTAGATTGAAGGTTCTATTTTCTGTCTCTCAGGTATGATAGACAGAAGGTGCTACTTAAAGAAATCCACAACTGTCAGTACGTGGCCTGCATGAACCCGATGGTGGGCAGTTTCACCATCAATCCCAGACTCCAGGTAGGGGGTTGAGTCCTGCTCTCTGTCAAATAGCCTCTAAATACCATACTCAGACATTGTGGGTCTTCATTCTTGGTGCTTTTGAGTACAAGTTAAGGCGACTACTGGACATTTGGTTAAGCATGTAAGCTTTTTTTTTTTTAATTAATAGACTTTATTTCTTAGGGCAGTTTTAGGTTCACACACGGTCTCAGCAGCTTAACGGAAAGTAGAGTTCCCATGCACTCCCTCACTCCCAGCCTCCTTTTATCCTCCTGGAAACAGCTGTGTGAGTCTGCTGCATTTGTTACAGATGATGAGCCAACACTGATAAATTATTATGATCTGAAGTCCAAGTTCACACTAGAGTTCATTCTTTGTGTTGTATATTCCATGTGTTTTGGCAAATGAATAATAACAGGTGTCCACCATTACAGTATCATCTTCTATCTATCTTCTATATATATAAAAGTCTAATGTGTAAATTGTCCCCTCGGGAGTTCAACTCGGAGACCAGGAGTTTGATCACTTGCTATGATGTGTGCTGAGCACTGGCACGGAATGAAGGAAGGCCCCAGCTGGCAGCTGGCAGCCGGGGAAGGGAGGCCCTGGCCAGCCGCTGGAAGGCCCCAATCGGCCCTGATCGCCAACCAGGCCTAGGGACCCTACCCATGCACAAATTTCGTGCACCAGGCCTCTAGTACATAATATTTTCACTGTCCTAAACCCCCCCCCCCCTCTGCTCCTCTTATTCATCTCTCACCACTCCCTCATGCTCCTACACAAATCCCTAGCAACCACTTGATCCTTTTAGGGTCTTCATAGTTGCACCTTTTCCAAAATGTCCTATAGTTGGAATCTTATAGTATGTAGCCTTGTCAGATTAGCTTCTTTCACTTAGCTTAAATATGGATTTATGGTTCCTCCTTGTCTTTCCATGGGTTGGTAGCTTCTTTCTTTTTTATCACTGAATTATAATCATTGTAGGGATGTGCCACAGTTTGCTTATCCAGTCACCTTTGGAAGGGCACCTTGGTTGTTTCCACATTTTGGCAATTATGAATATACTGCTATAAATATTTATGTGCAGTTTTTTGTGTGCATATAAGCTTTTTAATAATCACTACCATCATCAACAACAACATACATGTAACAACAGCATACAGCAGTCAGTATTGCTTACTCACTTACCTGGAGTCAGTGGGGGTCGGTGAGGTGACTGATGTTTTTGGTTGGGCTCATTCACGTGTCTTGGAGTTACTGTTTGTCAGCTAATGATAAGCAAGAGCTGGGCATGGACAGATGTGGAGGAAGGACCGGGTGCTTAACTCTGCAGGGTGCTTAACTCTGGCTGGAGTTATGGGGACATGTGGCTCTGCTTCATGAGTCTCTCATCCACTAGCAGGGGTGTAGAATTCAGGACCAAGGTAGAACCTTATCAAGCCTGTGACAGTAATGGTCACTTCCAGTTCATCCCGTTGGCTGTTAAGTTACACATCCAGGCCCGGAGTCAGAGTGGATGGCACTCCAAGGTTAAATGGCAATGCACATGAATGAAATGACAAAAATAAGGCTTTTGGGGGGGAAATCTACTGGTACCATTATAATCCCTATTTTTTTTACAACCCTCCTTTGTGTTTTTTTTCCCAGAGACATTTCACAGTGTTTGCATTCAACTTTCCATCCCTGGATGCTCTGAACACCATCTACAGCCACATCCTTAGTTTCCATTTCCAGCAGCAAGCGTTCAGTCCATCAGTTCTCAGGAGCGGCCCCACACTGATACAGGCAGCAATCGCGGTCCATGCGATGATGGCACGTCACTTCGTACCCACGGCTGTTAGATTCCACTACCTCTTTAACCTGAGAGACCTGTCCAGCATCTTTCAGGTACCTGGATGGCTCTCTGTGATGCATCTCAGGTGGAGGAATGATTCTAGTAATATTCATGGCATTCAGTTCTAGAACTTAGTTTAACACTCTGCTATTTACGTATTCTTTCATTTTATACCATCCACTTCTCTGTGAAGTAAGTATGGCGGGATTGTTGGAGGACTTAATAGGCACAAGTTCTCAGATGCAGTATTTAGTTCCTGGGCTAGCTCTTGAAATACAGTCTTAGTTACATTCCTGAAAATGAGTATAAGATGGTAAATTTTCAAAATGTTGCTTACATAGAGTGAAACTACTAATATATATGTACTACTATTATAATTTTTTAACTCAATAAATTGCTAAATTCATTAAAGACGATCTTAAAGGAAAATATCTTGGAATATTATCACCTGAATTTTTAATTTTTTAAAATTTTGCCTTCTAGGGGATTTTATTTGCATCTCCTGAATGTCTAAAGGGTTCAAACGATTTAATACGCCTGTGGCTTCATGAATCTTCTCGTGTTTATGGAGACAAACTGATAGACACAAAGGATTGTGATTTGTTTCAGAAAAAATTGCTGGAAACCGCCTGTAAATATTTTGAAGTAAGTGGAGGAATGTTCGTTCCGGCACTAACTGGCATTGCCTATGGATGGGAATAAGATGTGTAAATGCTTGCCTTGCTCAAACAGCTCTGATTCTGGAATACAATCGTTCTGTACAGGGGAACATCCCATCCACCTACCCATGGCTTGATCTGCACGCTTTTCCCTTACTAGGCCACGCCGCCTCCAGATGGATCATACTGGATGGTTGGCATGACCATGTTTTCTCTTCCTCCTCCTGCAGGGTGTAGACATCCATGTCCTGCTTCAGCAGCCCCTCATCTACTGCCACTTCGCCAGTGGTGGGGGAGACCCATGCTACCTGCCAGTGAAGGACTGGGAGGGGCTGAAGGCGCTTCTCACAGAGTCGCTGGACAACTACAATGAACTGAATGCTGCCATGCACCTCGTCTTATTTGAAGATGCCATGCACCACGTGTGAGTTGACTCATTAATGATGCTTTTTGTACAAAGTGAAAGTACCCATAGTCATTGTGTTTCAGTAGGTCGTACTGAGCACTCTGAGCTATCAGTTCTTTCTGTTGTTTCCCATACAATAGAAAATGTAGTGTCTTCATAAACTGTCACTATCTTAATAATGTCTTACATGGTCCACTTCTTTCTGAAGTGTCATCACAGCCATAATTTCAACATAATTTACCCTGGTAGGTAAAATAATAACAAGGAAGAAGACCGGTGACTCCTTCAAAGTCATAAAGTCCCTAAGTGGCAGAGACAGGATGGACGTAAACGGATTTTCACTGATTAAGCATGTTTAGGGAGTGGCTACTGCATGCTCAACAGGAACATTGCCAGTCTGTTCAGTGTTTTTGTGCAAATTAGGAAAAAAGGGGGGAAGAGCATGTTTTCTTGACAGACAATTAGGAAAAGGCCTGTGTCCTGGTATAGAGCTTGGCTGTCAAGGCTCTCGCTCACCTCCTGGACTGGGCACCTCGTGCAGTGCACTGAGTATAGGACCATCTGCAGGGCCCCTGTGGTCTGATATTGTCGTAGGTACTGGGGATGCTAGCAAACAGTCCAGTCTGTTCTCTAGGTACGCTTACATCTTAGCATTTCATATGGGTATGTACAAGGACATGGACAAATAAGCAGAAAAGTGTCAGAAAGTGATGTGTCACACTGAGAAACAGGATGGGCTGATTCTGAGAAATAAAATATGTGGATTCCTAAAGAGAAACTGAGTATCTATGTGAGGAGGTGACGTTTAAGGTGAGATCAACATGATAAGCAAGAGCTGGGCATGGACAGATGTGGAGGAAGAACATTCTGGGGGAAGGCAAATTTCTTGTGGGCCCAGGGCTGAACGTTCAGAAACAGAAAGAGGGTTATCACAGCTGCAGGAAACGCGAGGGGAGCAGTATGTGCATATATGACAAGGCTGGAGAGGCAGGAATGGGCCTCACTTCTGCAGGGTGCTTCCTTGTAACCAGGGGAAGATGTTTTGATTTTACTCTAAGTTCAGTTAGATGCTTTTGGACAGATTTGTAGCATGGGAACGACGTGATTTATTGAATAGTCTGAGCAGCTTGTCCTGGCTGCTGCTGTGTGGATTCCTTTGATGGCACTTTTGGGCCAATGCTGTTCTCCTAGTCACATTCATGTCTCACTGGCTGTATTAGTTTGCTGGAGCTGCTGTAACAAAATGTCGCAAACTGGGTGGTTTAGAAAAATAAATGTTTATTGTCTCACAGTTCTGGAGGCAAAGAGTGTGAAATCAAAGTGTCAGAAGGGCCAGAATTCTCTCCTAACTTCTGGTGGTTCCTTGGCTTAACTCCAATCCTCACGTGGCATTCTCCGTGTGTCTGTCCAAATTCCCTTTTATAAGGACACCGGTTGTATTGGATAAGGGGCCCACCCTACTCTAGAATGACATCATCTGAATGACCCCATTTCCATATAAGCTTATGTTCTGAGGTACAACTTTAACATATGAGTTGGAGGGGACACCATTCAGTTAATAACACTGGCCTTTTTAGTAAGTGGTACTTGGGCAAAGATTAAAATAATGAAATCGTGATTAAAAGTCAGTCAAGAAAGAAGGAAGTATGTGAGGAAGGACATCCAAACAGACCAAAACATGTGGGGAATTCAATTTTTGAAAAGAGCTACTCTTTAAAATGCTTAGCCCAAAGTGCCTAAGAAAAATTGTGCAGCCTCCGCATTATAAGCATGCTAAGTATTGATTGTTTTATCGATCCCTTTGCAGATGTAACACTCTGATTACCCAGTTTTAGTTGGAATCTGTGACCATGGTGGTAGCTACATTACTAGTAACTCTGTGTCTGGAGGGGCAGGTCTACACTGACTGTCTGAATGCCTGGGCTCAGGCGAGAGGGACCTCCCGCTGACGCTGTGGGAATCTTCATGTAACCCTTCCACAGGGAGTGCTCAGGGGCCCGAAACGGAAGGCTGTTTCTTTGATCAGGGAATCTGAGCTCGAAGCTGACTTCCTGAGTCAGAGGTGGCTTCAGAGACTGTCCTCGGGTGAGGTAGAAAGGGCCGTGGCTGCTTAGCGAGTCCTGTGAGGTACAAACCTCAGAGCATACATTGAAATGATATGAAAACCCTCTTTGTAACTTGGGGTTTCACTCGTGTCAGAGCAATTTTACAGCTTTCCCAAGGGGGTTTTGTTGTGTGGTCACATTAAGTAAAATCTAAGGGTTGGCTGAGCTTGTAAAAAAAAACACCCATCTTTTCAATTATTGAAGGTTTTCGGGAAATGCTCACGCGTGCTGGTCCTAGTCTAAGTGACCCCAACCCAGCTTCATTTTTTCAAGAAGCATTCTGTAAAAACCGTCTGTGTGGACCATTCAGGCCTGCGGTTTCAATTCATTTCAGAAAAGCAACCTCGAGCTAGCACCATGGTGAACAGTTTGGGGTTTTTTTTTTGCATTTGATATCCATATGTTTATATTTTGTTTGTTGTTTTTCTTAATATCTACAACATAATTATGATGTCTTTCTTCAACCAAACCCATATTTTGATCATGGTTAAGCCAACTTATTCCTGTTTTTAAATGTAGCAATAATATCAACAGCTTCAACATTCAGAATCTCTTCAATAATAGAGGGCAAGGGATTAGCTGGCCTTGCTGGAAATCTAATTTGGTGATTCTGAAGGATTTTAGCAAATTTTCTAGAGTGTTTGAGGCCCAGGGAAAGCTTTGGTGTGAAGGAAGTAAGAATCATATAAAAGAGGCGATTGCTTAACCTGCGTGAAGTAAATCGCTTGTGCGAGGTTTGGCGGGCTAAACAAATCCATTCTTTCCAAATTAATTCTGCGGCAAAGGTTTCTGGCACAAAGACATTCTCCCTTTGATGTTGTCCTGCGTGGATGCTGATGGGAAGGGTGGGATCATATTTGCTAATCAAATCCCAGGCATTGATCAAAGACCTGTATGTGTGTTCTCGAGTTTTGGTGGAGGGTGCTTACGCAGTAAGATAGTCCAAGATGCTATTAGCAGAGGACGGTTTGTTAGGCAAACATTGCGAGGGCAGATGCAGGCAGCATCTTTGATGGGGAAACAGAAGAATAAGAACTAAAAGATTGGAAGAAAAATTGGAATTTAGCGTCTAAATATTTATCGAAAAAATGAAAGAGCCCTAGTCCCAGGTTTCCCGCTGCGGTGGGTGCGCTTTTTCTCACCAGGTGTCGCATCAGCCGAATCCTCCGGGCGCCTCAGGGCTATGCCCTCCTGATCGGAGTGGGCGGCAGCGGCAAGCAGAGCCTGTCCCGGCTGGCGGCCCACATGTGCAGCCTGGAGGTCTTCCAGGTCACCCTGACCCAAGGCTTCGGGGTCCAAGAACTCCGGGTGAGTAAAAGTGGGGGGCCCCCTCCCCTCGTCAGCTCTGACTCCCAGGTTTGGCCAAGGCCTCTCCACCCAGCAGAGGGGGAGGGCAGTCCCTTTAGAGGATTTAATTTAATCCCTTTGGCTTTTTCTCCTTCATGGTCAAACTAGGCATCATAAATGTTTATGGATGGTTATAGGTGTCTACGCCTATAGCCCTGGCTCAGAAAATATTTTATTACATACCTGCTTCCTTTGCATTGACCACACCTGATGTGCAGCACTGTTCACATTCCCGTGTAAAGGAGGGAGAAGGCACTGCCTCTGCAAGTGCACAGGGATTCCTCCAACGTGGGATCAGGTTATGACACTAAAATGCAATGAAAATACATTCAAGAAACTCACCGGTCTTTAAACTTTTGCTTTTTTATTCCACCTTCATAAGTGCAAATAGGTTCTTTCCACTTTGGTTAAGATCATGACCATAAAATTCAATGGAAACACATTCAAGAAATGCATGCGTTTTAAAAATTTGCCTTTTTAATCACAACCCTACCTACAAAATAGTACTTAGAATTTGTGGCAAGTGCTGTTTTAAAACATAAAACCCCAAAGCACATGCTTTCAGTATTACCAAACGAAACTAAATAATCAAAACAAAAAGTGTTTTGAATGAACTAGACAGTCATTATCAAAATGAGCAGAAATGTCCCTACACTGTCTGGCCTGACCGAGGCTTCACCGAGTTCACATCTGCTCCCCCAGAATGGAACCCCCCCAGCAGCAGCCTGCTTTCATCCCTCTGCGCCAGTAAAGCCACAGACGTGACACCCTCACACTCATACCAGGCCTGGAGGTGATGTCATGCTGTTTGCCCCCATAGCAGATCCCAGAGAGGAAAGAGTATGTAAGCAGATGGCGAGTACACCAGGCAGCTCTCCTGTGATTGTCACTCAGTCCTTCCCAGCGCTCGCACGCATACTTCCTGCGTCGCGTCAGCATTTTAACAAAACATGAGTGATGGCCTCCTTTCCTTACAGGTAGATCTAGCCAATTTGTTCATCCGAACCGGAGCCAAGAACATGCCCACTGTGTTCCTGCTGACAGATGCCCAGGTTCTAGATGAGAGCTTCCTCGTGCTGATTAATGACTTGCTGGCATCAGGTGATTAAACCAACACCTTTCTTGAAAGATCTTCCCCAATGACAAATGGTCTGTAGTCCCAGTGAACTTTAAAGAGAGATCATCTGTCTTCGGGATGCCGGGGCAGTCTTTGGGGAGAAACCTATAAACCTAACTAATTTGCGGTGCACCGCTTTCTTAGTGTGCTCACGGAGGCGAGGTGCTCGGAGGCGCCTTCAGTGGAGTAAATGTTGTTCCTACGTGTACGAGTTTAGTGTGTCGTGTGTCTTGTAAATAAAAAGAAGAAAAGGGCATTTCTGATTTTCCCAGTCTTACTTTGTCAGTTGAGCTGAACCGTGTATTGTAAAGCATTTTGACCATTAAAAAAATCATATCTAACATTTAAATTGTGAGGGTCTTTCAGTAACTCTTCTTACTTCTTTGGGGGCAGGAGACATCCCCGATCTCTTCAGCGATGAAGATGTGGACAAGATTATTGCTGGAATCCGCAGTGAAGTTCGTGGTCTGGGCATGGTGGACTCCAGAGAAAACTGTTGGCAGTTCTTTTTGGCCAGGGTGCGGCTACAGCTCAAAGTAAGAGACGCACGCTTTACTGGCATATTATTTAAAACCTGCGCTGGGAACTCTGATGTGGTTCGGTTTCAGGATTTATGTCCTGAGTTTGAATTTTGGACATTCATTCCATAACGACACATCCAGTCATTAGTGTGAAAGGACATTTGCGTTTCTGCAGGCCCAGGTGTGGCGCGTACCTTCCTAAGGTTTCCCGTGATGCTGAGCTCCTACACAGCATCGTGCAGCGTGGGCTGTGCGGCACGCGGTTGAACTGGACGTGGTCTCGGTCCTTGAGGAGCTGACACTATGACAGGAGACAAGAGCCCTCACAAATAATTGTAGTCAGGGCCGGTGTAAGCAGTGCGGGGTTTACAGAGGAGCTCAGTGTCCTTCCTAAATGCCTTAGGCCCTGCCAGAGGAGGCAGTGTGCCTTGTTTCAAGTGTGGATTGCAATTCATGGGGAAGGAATGGGGTGGGGAAGAACTTTCAGGGAAGGAAATAGAATTTATATAAAAACTAGAGGCCCAGTGCATGAAATTCGTGCACTCGGGGGGGGGGGGGGTTCCTCAGCCCGGCCTACACCCTTTCGCAGTCCAGGAGCCCTCAGGGGATGTCTGGCTGACAGCTTAGGCCCGCTCCTAAGCTGTCAGTCAGACATCCTTAGCACTGCTGCATGGGAGAGGCTCCCACCATTGCCGCTGGGCTCACCAGCCATGAGCCTGTCTTCTGGCTGAGCAGCGCTCCCCCTGTGGGAGTGCACTGACCACCAGGGGGCAGCTCCTGCATTGAGTGTCTGTTCTCTGGTGGTCAGTGCGCGTCATAGCAACCAGTTCTGCCGTTTGGTCGATTTGCATATTAGCCTTTTATTATATAGGATAAGGGTATATATAATATACCCTGGCTGGTGTGCTCAGTGGTTAGAGCGTTGACCCCCCCCACACACACACTGAAATGTTTTAGATTATATTCCAGGTCAAGGACATGTACCTGAGTTGTAGGTTTGATCTCTGAACCCCAGTTGGGGCATGTGCAGGAGGCAACCAATGGATGTTTCTCTCTCACATGGATGTTTCTCTCTCTCTTTTCTCCCCTTCCTTCCCTTCCACTATCTCTAAAAATCAGTGAAAAAAATATCCTCAGGTGAGGATTAACAACAACAACAACAACAAAGAATAAGGGTGGACTGCACAGTAGATATTTGGAGAAACCCAAGACTTCCTATTAGGAGAACTAGGTCAATCAAGCTGGGAAAGTAAATTGGGATGAGGAAGGGAGGCTGTAAGTCATTTAGGGAGCAGTGGGAGAAGTTTGGGCTAAGGAAGTGAATTATATCAGCACTTGAGGGCAAGTAATATTACTCAGATGACCTGAGGTTCAACCCCAGGTCCTTCCCCCTAGACCTGTGGTCGGCAAACCACGGCTCACGAGCCACACGCGGCTCTTTGGCCCCTTGAGTGTGGCTCTTCCTAAGCCTTAGGAGTACCCTAATTAAGTTAATAACAATGTACCTACCTATATAGTTTAAGTTTAAAAAGTTTGGCTCTCAAAAGAAACTTCAATCGTTGTACTGTTGATATTTGGCTCTGTTGACTAATGAGTTTGCCGACCACCACCCTAGATGACTCTATGCTGCAGCGTAGTTTATAGAAATAGAATAGAACCAAATGACAGCAGCAATAAAGAGCAAGTATTATAACGGAACACGAAACGCCCCAACTCATGGCAGGATGCCAGTTTAAGGAAAATTCCGGCTTCCTAGGATAAAAACGGTTAGCAGCCTAGGAAAGTTACTACTTTGCTACTTCTAATGTTCGCCTGTCAAGTTACTGACAAGTTCCAGGGCTGTGACAGCCTGGGGCACACAGGAGAGGGACGAGGCAATGACATTAGCCGTGAGTATACCTCTGCTTGGAGGGGGAGAGTAATTGTAAGGTTCCCTTCCACCCCACGGTGTCAAATTCCATATTAATCTCCCTAGCAATTCTGGGCTGAGGTTAGAAGATAAGAACGTACAGTTTAGTTGCCCAAAGAGTTTTCTCCTCATCAAAAATGTCACTAAGAATATGTTCGCCAGGTTGTAACAGGGCCAGGGATCTCTCCCTGTGCCATTGTGATAGATTTGCATCAAATTTTCTCCAGGAAATCGCAAAACAAGTACAGTAGTAGAATTTGAGACAGGCATGTTGTAAATCACTGGTTGTCAGAGTCTGTTCCTCAGAGCAGCAGAGTGAGTATCACCTAGAAACTTGCTAAAAATGCAAATCCCCCAGCCCTTCCCACCAAGGCCTCTTGAGTCAGGAACTCTGAGCAACCTCTGTTTTAATAAGGCCTCCTGGTGAATCAGAGGCGCGCTGAGATTGTGAGACCGGTCGTTAAAAATCATGGTAAAATGAACATTCTTCACGCATGTCTTTTATACACGACTTTGCTTGCTTCTGTAGACTAAATTCCTGGGAGAGGAATTGTTAGAATCCATAGGTACGGCTTGCAGCGGGTTTAAAATACGCCTGCCAACGATCTGATGCTCTTCTAACTCAGGTGGGGGCGAGGGCCCCTCTCCTTGAAGCTGGGGGGCTTAGGACAGCCTCTGCTACCAGAGCGGGAACGGTAAGGCGGGGTGCTGCTGGGTAACTTCTGAGGCCAAGTCACAAAGGGCCGACTTTCCACCGAACTGTTTGGTTTTGTTTATAAGAGTTCTCTCTATGTCAGTTAGCCTTATGTATGTGCCTCAGATATTCCCCGTTCTGTCATTTGCCTTTTAAATGTATATGTGTGTTTATTTGTTCATAACTTTAAAGTTTTAAAAAGTTGTTACGTTAGATTAATCAGCATTTTCCTTTATGGGTCTGGGGGTTTCTTGAAATTTCGGATCGTGTTTTTCTCTCCAAAATTATAAAACACTTCACTAGAAGCAGCTGGTACTCAATTGGATAACAAATAAGAGAATGAAGCGTCCCACTCACCGAGTCCAGACTAACTCAGTGATTCTCTTATAGACCTTGGCTTCCTCGTCTCTCTCCTCCCCGTGCCTCTCCCCGTGCCTCCTGCTTCCAGGCAGGAAGAAGACTTGGGGCTCTTTGTATCACGAAACCAAAGCTTCCTCCTGAAGCTCAAGCTGATGTCGTACAGGCCACAAGTGTGTCACATGCCACCTCTACCTACAGGGAGTCTGGAGAATTGAATGTGTGATAGAGTGAGCTGAGGAGTTTCAGGTTATTTTTCCCAATAAAGATAAATTTTTAAAAGTTTTTGTTGTTGTTTTACTACTTGCCCAAGGATATTTTTTTCCATTGATTTTTTTTCTTAGAGAGAGTGGAAGGGAAGGGTAGAGACACAGAGAGAGAGACATGGATGTGAGAGACACACATTGATTGGTTGCCTTCCCCAGGGCCGGGGATTGAGCCTGCAACCGAGGTACATGCCCTTGACCGGAATCGAACCACAACCCTTCAGTCCAAGGGCCGATGCTCTAACCACTGAGGAAACTGGCTAGGGTCCAAAAAGATCTTTTCATCTCACAATCATGCATTTCTTCCTACTGATTTAAAGCAACATTATTATTTATTACCTGCCAAATAGCCATATTACTTGGATCTGTTTCTAGATCCTCTATTCTCTCTTCTTGATACACCTCTTTACTACTGATCCCAGCCTGGTATTATGTGAATTATTAAAGTTTTATTATACATTTTTATATCTAATATCTAATTGCTCTTTCTTGTCTAGTTTTTCTTTGTTGTTCTCACCTGTTTATACATCTGGGTAAACATCAGAATCATTTTGTTAAATTCTAAACACAGTGCATTTTGATTTTGATTGAAATCATGCTGAAGGCTAATTTTATACTAGGGAGAATTTAATCTTTATGATAAATTTTTTTTGTAGATGGAATATTCCCTTTATAAGGTTTTTTATGGTGGATTGTTTGTGTATAGGAGAGGTGTTGATTTTTATTTATAGCTAGCTATTTCACCGCCTCTCTGATAGTTTCTGTAAGTCCATTGATATCATAAGGCCTGCAGGTAGTATTTTGTCTTTCCTAATATTCTATTTATCTGCTCTTATCCCTCATCTCATTAGTAAGTCTACAGAAGAATATTCAATAATTAATGGCTGTAGTGAGAATTTTGATTTTTATATTAATGAAGATGTGTCTAATGTTTCACCATTCTGTCTTCTGTTAGCCTTTGCCTCAGGACAGATATCTTGTCAAGGACGTCTCTACCTATTACATTCCTTTCAGTAGCTGTTGAGATTCTTGCACTCACTAATAATCGTGTGAAGTTTTACATTTTTATGTTGTTAAATCCATCAGTCTTTTCCTGTATGTGTTTCCTGTGATCTGTTTAGGCAGGCTTACCAAAGCTGAGATCGGTTTTCTAGTCATCTCTACTGGTGTTTAGTCTTCTTTCTAGTCTCATTTTTTAGTATGTACCTTTGTGCGAGCTAGCATTTATTTTGGAGTTAGATATGGGTCATTCCCCCCCCCACCCATTGTCATAGGATTGCTAATTAAATAATGTCTCTTCCCTACTAAAATAAGGAGGAGGGCTTTTTGCTTCTTAGTTTAGTTTTGCTTTGCTTTGCTTTTTAATTCTAAGGAGGAGTAGGATATTTCCCTCAAGTACTCCTGACCCTTCTTGGCCTTGTCACTTAGTTTGTTGTATCGTGAGAAAGGTCAGTGGACAGTGCCTTACCCTGAGGGAGAAATAATGTGGCATAAAAGTGGATCACCTTTTGGCTGGAAAACGGCAGCTTCTTTCTCTTTAATCCAAATATATTCCCCAATCCTTGGAATTAAAGAAAGATTCTGGATTTGCTGTATGTTAGTTTCATATATTGTGACACTCACGGGCATGTGCTAAACGCTCAGATTTCTGATGAGCTGCTGTCTCCTTTGCGCGTGCTCCTAGCTGGGCAGCATGGGAAGCTCACTGTGCTACGGGGTTGCTGAGCACACCTGGCAGGTCAAGCTAAATGATGTGACGTTGCCACCCCATTACCCATGCTCACCACCC